ATACCTATGGAGTATAACTCCCGGTAGTTAGGGATTGAATTGAATTGTGAAAAAACAGAAACATTCTGAGATGTCCTAAATTTAGTTATAAGGTGAGGGATGGGGGAGAGGAGAGTAAGAGAACCTATTCAGCTAACAACTTCAGCCAAATCAACAACAACAACAAAATACCTTCTCCATGTTGCTAACCAGGTATAGGAGTGCACACCTGGAATCCCAGTGATTCTGGAGGCTGAGGCAGGAGAATTGAAAGTCTGAGGCCAGCCTGGGCAGCTTAGAGAAACCTTGTCTCCAAATAAATAAAAGGAAATAAAAGAGGCTGGGGATAAAGCTCACAAGCAAAATGCCCCTGGGCTCTTTCCCCAGTGCAGCAGAAAAACAAACAAACAAACAAACAAATCCTATCTGTTCTGTGTTCCTACATATATTGAAACCATAACTCAAAACCTCGGGAGAATGACTGTGAAAGTGCCATGGCATTCTGCTTATATCCCCAAGTGAGAAGCAAGTGCATCTCCGTGCAGACTATTCTATTCCCAAACTTTACCCACTTCACATTGCCCACCCCTCTTATCTCTAGCCCATGTGGGTTACAGAGCTTTCAATCCCCCAAATTAAAAAAAAATACTCTTTACTCTGGCCACACACAATTTCCAGCTCCTGCTGGTAGTAGTGGGAACTTGTCCCAGAACCTGACCCTTTTCCTGGCTAACATCTGTCATGGCTCAATAAACCTTCTTATTTCAGAGATCCCTTGATCTGTAGTCTTGGTTTTACGTGAGGAAACCCCAGTGGTCCTTCCGGTGCTTTATCTCGGAGTGCTCATGTCATGAGCTTCCTGTGGTCTGACGTCCACGCCTGACCCCTTGATGTGTCAGGAGCCAATGGACAGCAGCTGGACTCTTGCACAGCAGTTTCTCATGTTGGTCGCCCTACTTCAGTGTGTTTAGTCTTGGGCCAGGTTGCCCAGGAACTCTAGAGAAAGGGTGTGGCTGCCCAGGCATCTCCAAGCCCTTTGGTGTCTCTACTTAATTCCAGCTTTTATTCTTTATCTTCCCCCCCTGAGTACTGGGGATTGAACCCAGGGCTTTGCAGACATGCTAGGCAAGTGCTTTATCCCTGAGCTACATCTCCAGACCTTTCTTGTTTGGAGACAGGGTCTCTCTATAAGATGCTGAGGCTGACCTTAAATTTGTAATTCTTCTGTGACTCTTTGGGATTACAGGCATGTGCCACTGTGCCTAGCTGAGTTTCCTTCTTAGGTGCCATGTCTACCCGAACACTTCTATCACCACCTCCATGTCTTGCCCAGACTTTGCAATGACTTCTTTGCTGGGCTCCCCAAGTATGTTCAGTTCCTTCTGCAATGATTTTGCAAATCTGACGGTGTCACTCTTCTTCTCAAATGCTCAGTACCTTTTCCTATTGCCCTGAAGATGCAGACCTGCCCCTCCCTCTGCCCAGGCCCTGCTTAGGCTGCACCTGCACATCACTGGGGCCTCTTTCCCATCGCTCCCTCCTGCTCACCGAGCTCCTCCCACCGCTCTGACAGTGCCAGGCTCCCTTCATCAGGTCTCTGGCCCCAGGCATTCTCTTTGCCTAGAATGCATCTAGAATTTTTCCTTCATTCTGTCTCTACCAAGTTAATGGTTTCACATCCTATAGTTGTCAGCTCAAGGGACACTTCATCAGGGAAACCCTCCTGACCTCCCAGGTCCACATTGTCATCCTCAAGAATGGACCCCCTTTCCTTGGAGCATGCGTTTTTAGGATAAATGTGCAGGTCCCCAAAACATCTGCAAGCTCTTTGAGTGCAGGGACTATGCAAACTCACCCCCACGTGGCATCTGGCACACATCTCTGCACAGGATGGATAGATGGGTGCTCCCTGTGGTCTAGCTCCTGACGGTCCCCTGTCCCCATGCTCTCCACTGCACCTCTGCCATTGTATCCTTTCTTCTGTCCCCATCTTGGAGAGTGTCCTAGTCAGCTTGAGCTGCCATAAAAAATAATCATAGACTGGGTGGCTTGAAGAGTAGACATTTATCTCTCCCAGTTCTGGAGGCTGGAAGTCCAAAATCAAGGTGCCTGCTGAATTTGTTCTTCTATTGTTGTTTTATTTTCCGGGGTGGGGGAGGTTGCTGGGGATTAAACCCAGGGATACTCTACCCCTGACCCACACCTCCAGCCTTTTCATTTTTCTGTTTTGAGACAGGGCCTCACTAACTTGCTTAGAGCCTTGTTAAGTTGCTGAAGCTGCCTTTGAACTTGCAATGCTCCTGCCTCAGCCTCCTGAGTGGGTAGGATTACAGACATGCACCACCGTGCGCGGCCAGAGTTGGTTTTTGCTGAGGGCTTCCTAGCTGCAGACAGCTGCCTCTGACTGTATCCTCACGTGGCAGGAAGAGGAAGCTCTGAGGTTTCTTTCTCTTCTTATATGAGCACTAATCCATCATGAGGTCTCGACCCTCATGACCTCATCTAAAACGAATTACCTTCAAAGATCCCGCTTCCTAATACCATCACATTGGGGGTTAGGAATTTTATATAAATTTGGGGAGACTCGAGCCTCAATCTGTATCTGTGAGCTCCTATGCACCCCCAAGTTCCTGCTCTACTGTCATCTCCTAGATGCCCTCTGGGCTGAACCAGTGGCTCTCACTTTTGGATTTGTTCTTTTCGGTGACTGTGAGCTTCTCCACACCTCTCATTCATGCCCAGCCTAGCATCCGGGGCTCCAGTTCATGTTCAGCGATGGTGCTGCCATGAATGTCATGCCTGACTTTAGGGCCTGAGGTTTCTGATTGGCTGTTCGGGCACCTAGGTGTCTGCCCCCAACCCTCTGCACACACTGAATCTCTGTCTATAAAACAGTTGGGTGCGTTTCCCCATCTCTGGGGGTGTTTTTCATGTGATCTCTTTTGTCAAGGAAAACAAACATCCAATGCTCCCCTAAAGCCACATCCGTAAACTTAATATGTGAACAATGACAGTTACCAGGAAGACAGAGACTTTTGCATGCATGGCTGAGCATGATTGATTTAATCTAGTTGCTAGTGAGCCTCACATGTCCATGACACATGACCCTAAGCATAGGCCATGTATTCTGCTGTCACTCTAAAGCATGAAGGTGTTTCTAAATGTTTGCATTTCTGAAAGCTGAAAGAATTATGTGAATTTTTGAGGCTCATGTAATTAAAGATTTTATTTAAACGTCTTAATACTTGATGAGTGACTTTTTTCTTACAGCCTCCCAGACTAGCCTCTGTGAAATGTGCCAGGTTCAGCTGATTGATTGCAAAATCACTCAAGCAGCAAGTTAAATCCAGAGCTCCAGCCTCCTTTAACTGTTCCCTCTCCTCTGCCCCTGCCGGGCCTGCAGGTCTCACCTATGGCGCTCCCTGCTGCAGACAGGTGCTGCTGCAGGTCAGCCCTGTAGCCCTCCTGCTGCTGCTCTTTCCCACTTTCTCCTTTCGGCTCCTTCCTCTGTGGGCTCCCAACACGCCTTCCTACAGCACAGCTCTGAGGAAGTGATGGTAGGCTCTGGACCCTCCTCTACTTACCAGATATAGGGCACACACGTGGCCCTGGATTATCTTCTCTGAAATGCCTTCTCAAATTTCTGCCCCACCTCGTGCTCCAATTCTTTGTTTCTCTCCCCCCACCCTTTCATTTTATGTTCTCTCCACCAGTTTTGGAACACCTGTCCACCTTTCCATCAGTGAGAAACTCTGCTGAGAGTTCACCTCGGGACCCTTTCTCCCACCCACCCCTTTCTGCTCTCCTTCACACACAGGGCCCTTGCTCTGCCGGTCCTACTGCTCTCTACCCCATGCCTATTCAACAGGGTGGAGCCAAAGGTGGTTCTTGAGGGGAGGAGGGGAAGATCTTAGATGTTACAATGGTCTGTGGCTATCTGAGCAGATATACAGTGTATCTGTGGAATTAAGAGTTCATAGGGCTGGGGATATAGCTCAGTTGGTAGAGTGTTCACCTCACATGCACAAGGCCCTGGGTTCAATCCCCAGCAACACACATACACACACACACACACACACACACACACACACACACACACACGAGTTCATGGTGAGGGCAATTAAATATATATATATATAGGATCTTTTGCAATTGGGGCAGGGGACAGAAATGAGAAAAAAACGTTGAGAAACATTGCTCTTCATGTTCAGCCAGGGAGAGGGATTCTGCAGGTGTGGTGAGATTTAAATAAAATCGATGGAGCCCTGTGTGGTGGGGCACACCTGTAATCCCGGCACCTCAGGAGCCTGAGGCAAGAGGATCACCAGTTCAAAGCCAGCCTCAGCAAAAACAAGGTGCTAAGCAATTCAGTGAGACCCAGTCTCTAAATAAAATACAAAATAGGGCTGAGGATGTGGTTCACTGGTCAAATGCCCCTGAGTTCAGTCTCTGATACCACCCCCACAAAGTAAAATAAAATTAAATTGATAGTTATTCAGTGCCTAGAATGGTGCCCACTGCATAGAAAAAAACACAATATGTGTTTATTGTGCACATACGGTGTCTGGGCACTACACAGAGATTTTTACATATAAAAATTGTCTTTTTTTTAAGAGAGATAATTTTTTTAATATTTATTTTTTGGTTTTTGGTGGACACAACATCTTTATTTTTATGTGATGCTGAGGATCGAACCCAGTGCCCCGCGCATACCAGGCGAGCGCGCTACTGCTTGAGCCACATGTCATACTTACCCTGTGAGGGAACTACCATTATCATCAGACAGGCTTAGGGAGCTTGGTTTCCTGGCTTAATGTCAAATCTCTGATAACCAAGAGGCAGGAATAAAACCTCTGTCTGACTTCAATGCCTGACCCAGGACCCAACAGGGAAGTGAGCCCTGTCCTCACAACAGGGTGAAGTCACCTACTATTGGGGGGCAGAGAAAGAGAGAGCAGTGACTTACCCATACATGCAGCCTGAAATTGCCTTGATCTGATGGAACTCCCCTGTGTGCCCAGGGCCATGATGATGACCGCCTGTGATCTCTCAGCCATCACCAAGCCCTGGGAGGTGCAGAGCAAGGTATGGGCCCCTCCTGACCCAGAGGCGGGGAGCCCGTCCTGCTGACAGCAGGTAATGAGGCCTGGAGTCTCTCAAGTCTGACCCAGAGTTCAAGCACCTTTGCTCCAGCCGCCTCTGCCAAGACTGAGGGAATTTGCTTTCTGTTTTTTCCAGTGACCATAAAAAGTGGGGGTGGCAGGGCAGAGGTGGGTTTATCTTTTTTGCTAAGTTGGAAACACAAGTGGGGTGGAAGCAGGGACAGGATTGGGGTTGGGGCTCTGACCTGGAGTGTGTGTGTGTGTGTGACAGCGTCTATCTGTTGCAGGTGGCTCTACTGGTAGCGGCAGAGTTCTGGGAGCAAGGCGACCTGGAGCGCACAGTGCTGCAGCAGAGTCCCATTGTGAGTAGACAGGGGACGCTGGCTGATTGCTAGGCACGTGTGATCTCATCCTGACCCAAAGACATAACCCCTGGCATAGAGATGCATGACCTTACCCTAATGCACGGCGCCCAGAGGGTCCCTGATGGCCCTCAACCTCATTGCCTGAGAACAGGTTAGAGATGCAGATTCACAGGCCTTCCTTCCAGAAGCTGGGGGGGGGGGCTAGCAATATGTGCTCTGATGAGCCCTCCTGTTGAAGGACCTTGTTCTGGTGCAAGTGTCCTTAGCTCACTCAGCTGCACAGAGCCTGAGAAGCGGACACCACGACTTAGAGTCTTGTCACTCTTTCAGTGCCAACAGTGTAGGGGTCCACCTCCCCTGGGCCTGTGCTGACAGTGCAGAGTGAACAAGGGAAGACTTCGTGAAGCTGTGAGTCTGACACATTTGAAAGTTCCCCAGGCTGGGACAGTCAGTTGGCTTCCTGGAAGAGGTGGGGAGGCCAGACACAGGGTGTCTCAAAGGCTCTGAGGGCAGAGCTCCAAAGTAGAGGAGAGTTTGGAGAGGAGGGGGACAAATCACTCATGGGGGAAACAACTAAACCAAGAGTGTGTAGGGGTGAGGGGCCTCCCTTAGGAGAGAGTGAGCAGGAGGAGCAGGTAGGGTCATGAACGGGAGCCTTGAGGGCCAAAAAAGAGTTGCAGTTCTTGCTGGGTGCAGTGGTGCCTGCCTGTAATCCCAGGGGCTGGGGAGGCTGAGGCAGGAGGATCTCAAGGTCAAAGTCAGCCTCAGCAACTTAGCAAGGCCCTCAGCAATTCAGTGAAAGCTCCTTCTAAATAAAATATTTAAAAAGGGCTGGGGATGTGGCTCAGTGCCTCTGGGTTCAATCCTTGGTACCAAAAAAAAAAAAAATGTGTATAACCATAATATAGACAAAAACATGCATACATGCATATAACCCAATATCTTCACCACACTCACAAGATTAATAATTATACTTTAATATCATCCAATCCTCAATCTCTGCTCTTTTTTCTTGATGGAGAAAAAGAATTCAGTTGATTTGTTCAAATCAGGACCCAGTCATGGAACAGACTGTCCCCAGTATTATTCTATTAAGTCTCTTTTAATCAGTAGTATGTTCCCCATTCCCACCTGCTCCCTGGCTTTTTTTTTTTTTTTATGACCTTTACTTGTTGAAGATGGTTGGTCTTTTGTTGTGAAGTTCCCTACATTCTGGATTTTGTAGATTTTACCCTTAGGGTATTATTTGATGTGGTCCCTATTCCCTCTTTTTTCTTGCAAATTGCTAGTCAGATCTGGAAACTTGGTGAGTTTAGGATATGAATTTTGTTTACCTTTTCACTATTTATTTATTTCTTGGGAGAGGGGCATTTGTTGAGTATTTTTCAAAAAGTAAATGCATATTCAAGGGAAAATAATCCACCTTATCAGAATATCTAGAGTGAAGATCTCCCCCCCCCCATTTATTTCTTTTTAGCAAGAATGCTTCATTAGGTAGCGGGGGCTCTTACTGCCCAGTGCGGTTAACTCTTTCTCCCCCTGACAGCCCATGATGGACAGAAACAAGGCAGATGAACTCCCTAAGCTTCAAGTTGGCTTCATTGACTTTGTGTGCACCTTTGTCTACAAGGTAGGCCCTGGGCTTCCTCAAACCCAGATAGATGTCTTTGTTAAGCCTGGGATCTCTAAGACTTCAGGGGTAATAAACACCAGCAAGGTAACCAGGGGGGGATACTTCACAAAGTGCTTTCCATCTCCAGTGGCATTTGGACCTCAGAGCAGCTCTACAGGGACAGGGTGATTGCGTCACCAGTAAATTGTTGGGGGCCAGATGATTCAGCCTAGATTCAGACTGGGGAAGAGGAAAGAGCACACACATAGCCTCCTAAACTGGTGGGAATGTGACAGGCCAAAGTCCAGAATTTTTCTTGGATTTTTTGTTCAAGGTTAAAGTCTCCCTCTGGAAAAACCCACTGCTTCCAAATGCACCTCTGCTCTCCACTCCCTTTAAATTTTTTATTTTGGTGACATGATAGGTGAAGAGACAGAGTTTAGAGATGAGCAGTGCCAGGGCCACCTTCCCTGGATCCAGCCATGAGGCAGACTCAGTAGTCCAGGCTCTGGGCTCTGTTAGCAGCCCCTCTTCTGCTAGGAAGGAGACTCGCAGATGCCCCCAGAGGGCCCGAGAGCCCCTCTGGTGCAATGCAGATCTATGGGGCCCCTGGTCCACAGGGCTCCGTGCTAACGCTCGCCCTACCAGCGGCATTATGATGAAATGAGGGAGACTGGGCTTTATCTGCGTAATCACAGCTGTCCTTAGGGTAGGCACAGTTACTGTTCTAATTTCTGGCTGAAAATGACCTGCCTGAGGTCACAGAGTTTGTGGCAGAGCTTAAACACTTACCCAGGCATCTCTGAGCTCAGCTGGCTTTGGCGGGGACTCTGCTGTAGTGTGTCCTTACCAGGGAAATCCACTCCATCCGCCTGCATGTTTCCTACATGCAGGAGTGGCGGATCTTATACATCCTGGGATCTTCCCAAGACCAAAGGAAATAAATTGCTTCATGAACTGTAATATGCTGTGCTGACAGCATCATTTTTTTAAAAAAAAAATTTATTAGTTGTATATGGACAGGATAACTTTATTTTTAAGTGGTGCTGACGGTTGAACCCAGTGCCTCACATGTTCTAGTCAAGCACTCTACCACTGAGCTACAACCCCAGCCCCGACAGCATCATTTTTTGTCCTCAGCATTGTAAGAACCCTGAAGAGTCACCTCAACATCTAAAAATCCCAATTGCATTCTGCACATGTTTACAGTATTTTTTCATCCCGGATCCTGGGGTCTACCAGGGCCACGCCAAGAGATGAGGCTGTAACGTTCCTGCCCTCTCCAGGTGTCAGCCTCTGGGTGAGGCAGCCCAGGGGAATCATTTCTAGCAAGTGAGATATGATACGAAAGGGCTTTGGGAGCTGGGCGCTGCGGCGCATGATTGTAATTCCAGTGGCTAGGGAGGCTGAGGCAGAGGGTTGCAAGTTCAAAGCCAGCTTCAGCAACCAAGTGAGGCTCTAAGCAACTCAGTGAGATCCTGTCTCTAAATAAAATATAAAAAGGGCTGGGGAGGTTGCTCAGTGGTTAGGGCCTCTGGGTTCAAACTCCGGTACCAAAACAAAACAAAAAAATGGGGTAGGGGTGCTCTGAGAGGGTCCAGTAGGGAGTCTGATTTACCTAGGGGGTCAGAGGGGTTCCCCTGAGGAAGTGAGGAGTAAGTGGAGTGTCAGGGAAGGAGGAGAGATTAGAGCATTCCTGCAGAGGGAAGAGTTTGTGCGAAGCCCACAGACACAGGACACTGAGGAACAGAGACTTGGAGTGCCCAGAGGGCTCCTGGTGGAGAGGGGCAGGGGGCCCTGGGCTGTGGAGGGCGTGGACACCCTGGTGAGGGCTTGCCCCTCACCCCGAGGGAAGGCTGTGCAGAGCACATCACCTGGGGAGGAAAGGCATCATGGGATCCCGTGGATGGGAGGCCCAGTGGGCACACCTGCATCCAGAGGCAGCGCATTCTGGTGCCCTGCATTTCTAACCGTGCCTGACTTCAGGCTGGGCCCCTGGGGCATGGCCTCTGGGCCAGAGGCTCATTCTCTCTCTGTCCCAGGAATTCTCCCGTTTCCATGAGGAGATCACCCCCATGCTGGATGGGATCACCAACAACCGCAAGGAGTGGAAGGCGCTTGCTGACAAATATGAGGCCAAGATGAAGGCGCTGGAGGAGGAGAAACAGAAGCAGCAGGAGGCCCAGCAAGGTCTGCCCAGGGGAGGACAGGAATCCTTAGCCTGCCGCACCTGCTTACTGTCCCCATTCTGTGTAGGAGGGCACTGAGGCCAGTGGTCACTGTCTGCTAAGTGGCAGAGCCTGGTTATCAGATGGAGGCCAAGGGGGCTCCAGGCCTCCCAGCTAGAGAGGCTGACTGAGGCTGTGGACACCCCACCCCACCCCAAGGCCAAGGAAAGAACTAAAAAGGTCAGTTGGAAGGGATTTTAGAGGCCATGTTTCCTGCCTTCTGAATCCTGCCTGTGCGTACTACAAAGGCTCTGTGCCTGACACGAGACTCCCACTCAGTGCCAGTTGGGTCTTCCTTGAACTCACCTGGTCCTCTTTGTTGAAGCTTCCATCCAGCTTCAAGTCGGGTTTGTCTGCTCCAACTCTTCCCCAGTGACACTGCCACTCGTCATTTCTTTGATCAGCTCCTCCCAGGACTTGGCTTAGAGTCCCTGCCCCACCCTGAGTGCCACCTATACTCTGTCCCTCTTACCATGGTTGCAGTCAGGTCCACAGCTCTGCTCTGCTCTGGGCACTGAGATATGACCCAACATGGGCAGCTGCAAATATGGAGGCACCCTGTTGATTCTGCCAGTTGTTCTTTTCATACCTCCGAGGGCCTCCTACCCATCACAGACACGTACAGCTATTGCAGTTTTCCAGAAAATGGCAGCAAAGTCTCTGGAGGAAGAATGTTTTTCTCTAATTCGCGTAAACTATCTTTTGAACTTGTGGCAGGTTTGTGTGAACTTGTGGCCTGCATTTTTTTTTTCAAATATGTGTGTGTGTGTGTGTGTATTTGCAGTGCTAAAGACTTTCAGGACCTCACACAGGCTAGGCGAGTGCCCCACCACTGAGCTATGCCTCGAACCCCTGCATTTTATTTTTAATGTGAATTTTCCATCCATATTTTAAAATTAGGAGAGTTCAGATTTAAAAATACAGATTTCCAGCTTTTCTTTTTAAAAGATCAAGGCCTGGCCACATCAGCCTTTCATTTCTGCATAAGTGATTGAAGCTGAGTGGGTCTCTCCAGTTTGTCACAGTTGCTAGTCCCCCCGACTCCTGTGTCTCTCAGACATTAATGCCAAATGTGGATCGTCATTTGTTATCATCTCTGTCCTATTTGTGTGTGTGTGGTGGTGGTGGTGGGGACTGGGCAATTGAACTCAGGGGGTGCTCTACTACTGAGCTCCATTCCCAGTCCTTTCTATTTCTTTGAGACAGGGTCTCCCTAAGTTGCCCAGGCTGGGCTTCAATTTGGGATTCTTCCTCCTCAGTCTCCCAAGTAGCTAGGATTTCAGATGTGTGCCACCCCCTGACGATTATCTGTTGGTGTCCTAAAGCCCTTGAGTTTTCAACTCTTAGTACAAACCAGGTCAAAGGGGAAGCCCACTGCAGCCTCAAACCAGAGTGCTTAACCACTGAGTCACATCCCCAGCTGTTTTTATATTGTATTTAGAGACAGGGTCTCACTGAGTTGCTGAGGGCCTCACTAAGTTGCTGAGGCTGGGTTTGAACTCATGATCCTCCTGCCTCAGGCTCCCAAGCCACTGAGATTACAGGTGTGTTCCACCAGACCAGCTGCAACCTCCTCTTAATCTGTCATGATCTCTTTCCTGTCTGATTACAGCAGCCTCCGGAAACCAGCCGACGGGGAATCCTATCCCTGGGGGTGCACCTGCATCCAAGTCCTGCTGCATCCAGTAGCACCTCCGGCCACTGCTGGTCAGAGTGACACCATCTATTCGAGGAAAGAGGTCACCTAAGCCATCAGAAAGTCACACACCTTGAGAAGTGAAAGCGTTGCAGGATTTGAGTGATGATGGATAATCCATTTACATCTCATCTAGTGGGTTTTGAACATTTTTGTTTTCTAGCCTTGAGAATTGTCCATTAAGCTAAAACCAATATTCTAAGTTTCATAGACATCAATTAGATTTCAGGTTCACCTGCTTGCATAGAGTCATTTTTGTTCTTATACTTCTGTTTAATGTTTCATTATACAAGTTCTTGGTTACTCTCAAAAGTAGAAAATTATAAATTGAGGGCTGGGGTTGTGGGCTCAGCGATAGAGTGCTTGCCTAGCATGTGTGAGTCACTGGATTTGATTCTCAGCAGCACTATAAATAAATGAATAAAATAAAGGTCCATCAGCATCTAAAATAATATTTAAAAAAAAGAAAATTATAAATCGAATCCCCAGGTACCCACCACCCGGATGTGAATATCAAAAGATTTGGCTACATTTACTTCATGTTCCTTTTTACATTTCTTTTTTTTTCTCTTTTCTTAGCTGAAATACTTTAAGGTAAATGTGACATACCTTTTCACTCCATATCTTTTCACTCTTCTATCACGTCTTGAAAGGACTAAGGGATTTTTCCAGCATAAGCAGGGATTCACACATAGCACAGGAACAGCTCGTGTACGCAGGGATAGCCGTGCAGACCAGTCCTGAATGACAAAGTCCTTCAATACTGGACATGGGGCCCCGGTAACTGTGAGTGCTGTCAGCCGCAGCTTCAGTGCCAGCTCCTTCAGGGTTCTCCTCAGGCACAGGGACACTCTTTGCAATTCCGGAAATCAGCCTGGGAGGAATGAGTGCCCTATATCCAGCGACTGACTGATGCTGGAGAAGCCTGGCCATCTTGACCCACCATGGGGAACTCTGCAAGGCCTTTCTAGCTCCAGGTCTCCCGCGGGGACCATCAAGGCTGTTGATAAGTTCCCATCACCACTCCCCTCCCTTTCTCTCCCCAGGTCAATCACCAGGCCCTCCTTACTAAGCATCCTGCAGACCAAGCATCCCTTTGAGAGTCTGCTTCCTGGGGAACCCAACTTGTGGCAACGACCCTTCATCAACTTCCCCTATTGTCCCAAAAATGTCTTTGAGAGCTGATTTGCTTGAATCTGACCCAAATAATTTTCACACATTGAATTTAGTTGCTGTGTTCCTTTATACTTGCTAGATTTTAGGAAGATAGACTTATTCTTGRGTCTTCCATTGATTTCAAGGTGTATAAATAAGCTAAGGTAAATCATTCTTAATTGTAGACCTTCAGTTTCAATTCATGGCATTTCTGTTGGTTTAAAAATAGAGATTATTTCTTTAAAACCAAATCAAAGTACACTCTGGTGGGTCAGCAATGCCTGCCTGGTACAAGTAGTAGTCATGCTATAGTAACCGTGTTGAAAAAGGCAAAAGAAAATGAAAGTATGGTTCAATCCCCAGCACCAAAAAGAAAACGAAAGTTGAAATTGGCAAAAGCATGCTGAAAAGTCTGCTCTAAGCTTCTGCTAATTGCCCAAACTCGAATTTTCTTTCTACCTTTTTCCTCTCCCCAGCTTTATTGAAGTAGAACTGACAAATAAAAATGGCTTCTATTTAAAGTGATGATGTTCTGATAGACCTGTATAYGGGGGACTGTCACATGATGGAGCCAACTCATGTCACCACCCTGCACAGTACTGTGGTTCTGACTCCTAAGTCTCTTTCGGTGTCCAACAGTGCTCTTTCCTCTTTTCCTTCTCCAGGGACTCATGTAGAAGCGAGGTCACTGTCCCACATTCTGGACTGGTGTCTTTGTTCTGTGATGATGTACAACACATTCCTGTCCCCTATTCTCTTGCAAACAGACATTTCTCCCAAGTAGGTTTTGCAGAAGCTGATGGGTTAAAGCAGTTGCTTTGAGGAGGCGGAACCACATGGTTTCCCGAACTATTCTTAAATCCCCAGTCTACTCTAACTCCTCTTTTTATATAAAGGGGGAAATTGAAGACCAGTGAGAGGCTGGAACTGGGCCAAGTTCATGCGGTTTCCAGGCTTCCCTCTAGCACACAAGAACACAGTATGCAGGACACACACACCACCGTGATTTCCATAGCAGATCAATCTGGGTTTCTGATGCACAAGCCCTGACCTTATTTGCAGGCCACGTCAAAAGGGAGATGGGCCTGGCCTCCCATCTTTTAACTCCCAAGCTAGATTTTGTCCWGCCACTCACAAGAGCATTGGTCTTTTAAGCAGGGGCATGTCCCTAAGCATATTATGTGTCGTGGTTAAGTGGCAGAGTGGAGAGGAAAAAAAATTGTCACTCATAAACACACAAGCATTGCTGCTGGTGGTCTTGGCTTTGCCACTACATTATTGAGTCCCTGGGACAAGTTCCTTCTGTTCTATTTCTCAGCCTTTTCAACCCACCAACTGAATATCAGGCAAGGACTCTGCCTCTCAAACAGGGCTATGGTTAGCACCAAATGAAACTGCAATGATGGGGGTCATGGTTAATGTTTACCAAGTGCTTACAGTGTGCTAGGTACTGTGTATATTCAACTTTGTCCCCACAACAAACCTAGCCCCATTTATCACATGAAGAGCAAACTCAGAGAGGTTAAGAAACTTGTCTAAGGACAAACAGCTTCTAAGTGATGGAGTCAAAAACTCAAAACCAAACTGCCTAACACCAGAACTCCAGTTTGTAATCCTTTTCCCTATACCATGCAGCTTCTGATAATCAGTTTCTTAGAACGTAAAGGACTTTGAGTTCATCTAAGCAAATCATCTTGTTTCATAGTTGGGGAAACCAAGAGCTGAAGAAATGGTTCACATGATACAGAAGTGTGATGCAGAGTTGGGTCTCAAACCCAAGGCAGGTCTTGAGGCTCTATGGTTGCCATTCTGTTCCTTGCTCCATGGGTGGTGCCCACTCAGACTGCTGGTTGGTGGGGCGGGTCGCCCTGCAGTGAATGGAGCAGCCCCGTTCTCCCAGGGCTTACTTCCCATCTAATGGGGGTAAGGGGCAACAGACATGGGGCAGCAGTCACACGGAGGCCCTTCCTAATGACTCAATTCACACTGGAGAGCTCTTCTCTCTGTAGAAACATCCCTGTTCATTTTAATGGGAAAAATTATGATCCACTCCCCTCCAACTTGAGAAATCCAAACAATTTTCATAGACTGAAAATTATCACCTGAACAAGGAGAAATGCTTACATATATAATAAACAACAATTTGAGCAGGGCATGGTGGCACATGTCTGTAATCCCAGCAGTGAGGCCCTGTCTCTAAAATAAAATATAAAAAGGGCTGGGGATGTGGCTTAGAAGTTAAGCTTCCCCTGGGTTCAATCCCCAGTACCAAATAAATAAACAACAATCTGAAAATGGTTTTGCACATGACGTGAAATGTAACAGGTCATTGTACCTGTTCTTGTTTGTGTGTAATTATCTTCATTGACATTTTGACCTTTGGGCGGCTCATGGGCATCTTGTATACAGACTGAATTTAAAAATCAAGTTCAATTACCAAAAAGCAACTTTAGGGCAAAATAAAAGTTAAACTCTTTTAAATAACACACATGCATGGGATACTCTTGGAAGATGACCCTTGCTCACCCAAACACGGCACACGGTTCAGATCTGCTCTCCATGAGACACTTTTGTAATTGTGGGGTGGTGAGTGGTTTTGCCTGAAACTGTCAAAATGTCTCCTAGAGTACATTTATTTAGTGTGTGTGAAAAACAGAACAAGGAGGTCTTTGTTCAGGAAGTGCCACATGAGACTGCCTGTGTGGTTATTATGAACCGTGAAGAGTACAGTAAAGAAAGGCAGAACATCTAAGAGAAAGTGACACTGGAACTGGAATCGAGTCCCCATTTAGTGGCCAGAGTGTCCTCAATGAGCTCACAGAACCAATAAAGAAAGACACACCTGGGCAGGGCTGTGGGTGGTATTGTCTTTTTAATCTCCATAGTGTATTTGTTAAGTTTATTTATAAGCAGATCACTTCACTATTTACAGTACATGAGCATAGAGATTCTAYAGTTTTTGTGATGTAAACAATAACTCCACCGTGGGAGCTTGAGAAAAGAAGCCAGTTYTGAAGTATTTACAGACGTTAAAATAGAACTTTATACTCACAGAATAATAATACATAGAGCCATTTGGTTAAATTATCTATGAAACTATAGAATCTGACAATGTACAAATACAGGAAAACATTTTCTCATTTAGAAGGTAAGACAGATAAATCACACCAGAAATAAAATAGGGACGATGACAACCACAGGAATTAAAAGCAAAGAAGTTTTCTTCCTTGCCTCTTACAGATAAAGTATTTATATAAATAAGGACACAACCCAACAAAATGGAAAAAATATATAAAAATCCTCTACCAATTAAAAAAAATAGCAAAACTAAAAACTCGATTCTCAATCATTAGCAGTGTCCTTTAAAAAATTAAAGTTTAGCTTTCTATTATAAATAACAAAGCAGATGTGTCCCTCTGTGTAGGTGAAATTCTTGCACCTTTCTCAAGAAATGCATCAATGTAGTTTCCACTCACACACTACACACACACACAGGCACAGATGTGTGTCCACGTGCATACGCAAGTGCACATGCGTGCGCACACACACACACACACACACACATACACACACACACTTCACAAACACAGCCTTACACTCACACACCCCAGGCTGTAGTTACCTTTGTTGAGCTTCCTAATAAATAATGCTCCCTACAGTAGTACCCCTGGGGATGACAAAACCTCACAAGTTTAGCCACTCCCTGGTTTGACCCTGTCACAGAGCCAGGGAAGGCCCTGGCTCCCTATTGCTCAGAATTCTCTAGGCTGCATGGTCACACCAAGAGAAAAGGATTTTGAGTCCAAGATTTGGAAATGCTGGAAGGGACCATAGGGACCACCTTGCCCCATCGATTAAGGCTAGCTACAGACACCGTCTCTAGACGCCTGGGGGTGGGGAGAGGGAGCTTGTGTTGGTTTCAACATTAGCAGCTGCCTCTGGAAGAAGCAGACTTGCTAAGCCAAAGTTAACAACATGGCACAAGGAGGTGACGGGGTGGGCGTGAATTTCTGGAGCAGATTGCACTGAGCTGGACTTGCGGATGGTCACCTTCCCCCAAAACCATCTGGAAATCCAGTGGTCCATTGCCCTGTGCCACCTACCACTGACCACACTCCCCTTGGGATTTCCAACTAGTTTCAATCGGAATCAGAATATCCCTCAAGAAACAAAGTTGGGAATAGTTTATGACTTTGTATTCCTAACATAAATACATTGGACAAGAGTTTTAAATACAAGATACAAAAACAAACAAAAAAACCTGTTTGGCTATTTGGTGGACCACATCAAGGTCATGGCCAGCGCGCCCCCCAAATCCCACCAATCCTCTTTGCTTGACCTGAAGGTGTAATGTGGGCCACTAGCAGAGGTTCACTTAACAAGGTCAGCAGCTGGGCTGCCAGTATTGCAGTTACAGTAAACCCCTCCCTGGCACCTGGATGTAGGTTCACTCTTATCTTCTCTACTTACAGGATACCTAATGCATTTCTCAGATTGCATGAGTCTAAGTGGCTGCTTCTAGAATCTTCTGACCCTGGTGTCACAGTGGGCTCTGAGCACACAAACAGTTCACTCATGCCATTATATTTAATTCCCACAGTTGGAGCTGGAACCTCAGTATAGCCAGCTCAAGGGATTTATTCATCTTCTCTCTCAGTAGTGCTGATGGATACGGTCTTGGCCACTAGATGGCGAACGCGTGTTGATAAGGCAAAGTGCTGAGGTGGAAGCTGACCAATTCCCTTCACAAGTACCCACTGAACAGGATTGGCAAAGCGAAAAAGAAGGCTCTTGGGAAACCTTTGATTAAAAAATAAAAAAAATCACAGCACGGAGGGGGTTCTAGCTATATGAACACCTCTTTGAGGAACTGTGGCACAGCCTAGGCACTGACCACTGACCAAACCATATTTTACAGGCCCCCAATTTGGATAGTTAGATTTCTGTACTCCTGGATGTAACAAGCCATTCTTATGAAAAAAATCTGCGAAAAGCTGTCCCCCTCAATCCTGAAGCCTCAGTCACTGCTGCTATACCATTAGAAACAAAAAAACAAAAGCTGCCCTAAACATATGCAGTGTGATCGGTGCCTCCTGTTGCCCCATATGTTTTACAATCATTTGAAAGAAATGTGTGAAAAGTGCCTAAGTTAAGCTGTTGGGGGTGGGGGGAATAGTGTATTGCTAGTATTGTCTGAGAAGAGAGAAACAGCCAGTGGTCACAACAAACATTCAGATTAAAAGCTATTCGAAGGGGACAATGACAGGGTTAATGTGAGATTTGACATCACCACCTAACCACGCTGGGGAGAACTAAAAGTTCCTCACTGTCCCCACTAGAAACTATGGCTTAGATCTGTCCTGGGGAGCTGGCCTCCTCACATAAGGCCACTCGGCCAGKACCATGTGGGGCCTGCTGCGGGCTGGCGACCGTGCAGAAAGCCCTTACCCTGGACCGGAACTGGGCTCGGCCAGAGAATGGAATTGGTTTCACAGGGAGTGATGAACTCCTCATGCTCCAGGATGGGAATGCACATATCATTCAACAGTCTCATTTGCTGGATGAAGAAGCAGGGACCTAAGGCCACACCTTGGGGTTTCTTATTCTCAGATGGCTTATAGATAAATGATTTGCTCCATGAACCCATTTTAATCAACGGGGCAATTTTTAATCTTTCTACAAAATTAGGTACCAAGACCTAAACCCATCATTCCCTGTTTCTAGGGCTTCCAACAAAGGCTAGCAGAGGGCGGCTCCTCCTACTGGCTCCCTGCTGGGGCTGCCATCTTGGAAGGCCCCTCTGCTTTCCTCCCTCACACCTGCCACCCTGTCCCAATGCCTAGGACAGCACCTCACATGGTCACAGGAGACCTATATTTGCCAGTGCAGAAACATGGAGCCAGGCTGAAGTGTTGGAGTTTTCTCAAAGTGCTTTTATTGATGAATGCAAAGTCATCTTCTGCCTACTTCCTGGGTGTCCTGCAGCTGGCACCCAGGGCTCCCCTTTACCCCATGTTTGTTCTGGGTCAAGGGCGCCCCTGTGCATGTTGACTTTTCCAGCTCACAGGCTCTCCCTCCATTTACCCTGTACCTCCGGACTCTGCAAACAGTCCTGGAGCCCATCTCCGTGTGCAAACACCACAGGAACTTTGGGACCAGCTTTAACATATTGCACATAGATACTGGTTGGTTTCCTTCTGCCCCATTGGGAAGAGGTGAGAGGGTCCTCCTTTGGCCAATGAAATAGTTTCACTTTACTTTGCTATTCTACATCTGATTTCTTTCCTTGGTCATATCTGACACTGGAATATGGGATCCCGGCAAACTAAGAACAGTTGCTAAATCTCAAATGTTAAGAAAAATACTGAAATTTTGACATGAGTAAGTCAGATGGATACATCTCTAGGTTGATTCTCCTTCCTGTTTGGGATGACCCAACTCTCAAGATACAGGTTCAGCTGACAATTCAGCTGAACTCAAGGCCTAGGATGGATCATGGCTGGAGCTGTCCATGCAGAAGGATGGGCTTCAATGCCTGCCCTTCCTCTCCACTCACCTCCCACACAGGGGCCTCAACTGGTATACTGCATGTCTAGGAAAAGTCACTCTTGAAAATCTGACCAGCAAGGCTTTGGGCCATGAAAGACATCAGGACTTGGGGACTCAGTCCTTGAGGCTCAGAGCATTCTTTCTTCCCACATTTCACTCTCAGAACCCTGCTGCTTTCCTGAGGCTCCATACTCCATGCTACCAGATCTCCAGGCAGATGTAGATACCAGATAGGTGCTATCTGGCTCAGAGCAGTTCTCTGGTTGGGGTGGGGCAGGACGTGATGGGGAGGGAGTGGGGGCCTGAGCTGCTCGCCATCCACTCATATCCTTTACCTCTTTGATGCATTTTCCTTCGGTAACCAGAGCCCCCTAGAGTGAGGATTCTGATTCAGCCTTGTACCGACTGAGGAAGGAGATGGAAGAATTCCACTTAGTGGTTGGATCAGACAGTTCTGGAAAACACCAGCACGGCACAGAGACGGACAGTACAGCTTGCCCTGCCAGGGCGGCTGTCGACACAGTCTACAGGAAGCTGTTATGGCAAATTACATGTAAACATCATTGAGAGCAAACACTAGGACAGAGCTACAATGAGATGGTTGCCAATGGCAGCTGCTCCCTCTGGGTTACTCCTTAATTTGGTGGGAAAAAGACCAAGGTTGCCTCGTCCTGGAGAAACCTTGGAGTCTCCTTGGTAAATAATACACAGCACCGAATGGGTCTTCCAGATAGAGGTTGTCTGCAGGGCTGATCAATGTTAGGCCTTGTTGCCTTTGTTCTGTGGGATGACAGAGACTACTGGATGCCCTTGGCAGGCATCTTCTCTATCAGCAGCCCCCAGCCCTGACCCTAGGCACCTTAGGGCCCAATGCCAGCCACACTTAGGTCCCTGTTCTGCTCAAGGATGTTGTCTAAGTGACTTTAAGTGCCCTATACTGAACTGGTGTAAAGGGGAAGCTTCAGCTGACCCTGAAGCAGGGGAGAGACTCATCTTTTGCTTAAAAAAAAAAATGCATTTCTTGAAGCTCAGGAACCAAAGTAAAACCTCTGGCCTAGTGCAATGGAGGAAAAAGCAGACATGGGGCTTTGAGATCATCTAGACTACTTTTCCCGAACTCTGTGGCCTAGAGAGGAAAGAGGCTGAGCAAAGTTACCAAGGAAATTCTTGGTGGTGTCGGGACTCAGCCAGTTCTCTAGATGTGAATCTAGTGTCTTTCCCATCCACAGGGTGAAATCTCAAGTTTCCTCCTTGATGCATGCCAATTAGGTCTTAGTGGAAGCAGCAGCAGGATTTTAATTCTGTTTCATTCCATAACCATTGATTATGTGCTTTCCATGTGTGATGGCTATGAAGGAATTTAGAATGATCTGTGGAAAGTCCCTTTTTTGGTCAATCCGTATAAGTCTCGCCTTTTCCAAATATGTTCCTGTCTGCTTGCACTCCCTACCTTCCCTGTGTGTCACAGTAGAATTGAGATCCTGTTGCTGAGGAATGGCTTTAGGAAAGTTTTCTTTCATAGATTGAGGGCATGACAGACAGGTATGGGCAAGCATAAACCCTAGTCAACATATGGCTCTGTATGATTGATGAAAATCTCCAAAGATTAGACCAGGATGTCAAATAGATTAAACGCTGATCAATTTGTAATGACTGCCCAGAGCACTGTGTTGTGGACTAATAGCACATCTAAGGTTCAAAGAATCGGAGTTCTATGATCGATTGGTTATGTTTGCATTGGCCAAGGATGTGGGAATAGTTGTACATGTGCCGGGTATTTGCCATCTTGAGCTAGACATTGCCTTAGCAGAAGTTAAGACTGTTAGAACTGCCTAATTCTCCCTCTCAATGTATTTTACGGAGAAGGAGACTGTGGTTCAAAGAGGCCAAATGACTTGATGCACATGAGTTCAAATTCCCTATGTCTGCAAAAGCCCATCTCCTCCAGCCTTATCTGGGGTCAGAGAGCAAGTTAACAACCCAGAACAAGAGAGTAGGCTCAGTTTACCTACTGAGGTATTTTTTTTAAATCAACTACCAATCTCCAAAGACTAAGCCTGGCATTAGCAACAGATTAATTTGGCTAGTTTAGTTTTATGAATCACTTTCAAACTTTTTTAAAGTGGCAGGACCTTTTTTTTCCCCTTCCAGATTCAAAAATGTCCCAAAGAATCCTGATGCATGAAAGAGATCAGGAGGAGTCACTGTATGAAGCAGGAGCAGAGAGCTCATACTCTGCCTAGTCACAGTCTCCCTCCTGAATGGCCCCAAGGCACCCTTAGAACATCAAGCTGGACATGGCTTTGACATCACTCAAGAACACAAAGTTTGAAGGAAGCTTGGAGCATGCTTGTTGATCCGCAGTCCTTGGGGCCTCTTCCTGCTCCCATGCCCCACCCCACCAAACAATGTTACAGATGAAGAAAGGCAAAGGCAGGAGGATGGGCTGGCATCTGACCCCCAAAGGATAACTGCTCCTAGCCTATCTGTTTATCCCACCACCAGGTATGTCTCAAAGCCCTGATGATATGTCCATAGGCTGAGGTAAGCCCCAGGCCTGCTCAGGATCAGAGCCAATGGCATTCCCAAGAACGTACTGGAGCTGGAGTTCACCCAGGGCTGGGGATGTTGAGCTGACCCCAAAGGAGTCCTTAGGCCTCTCTGGGCTGTTGCCCTGTTGAGCTGAACTCACCTCTACCAGTGCCTGAGCTTTGTGTCTTTACCCATCTACCGCAGCAGCCTGGGACTGAGAATCAGAAGGCTGGTGTGGGTCATTGCTCTGCCTTCTCTCTGTCTGTAGGACCTCGGGCAAGTCATTGTGCCTMACAGCACACTGCCTGCCTCTCTTGGAAACAAGGACAACGTGCTCATCCTGCCTTCCTCTCAAGGCACAAGGGTCTGAGCACTCACAGGCAGGCACTCTTCAAGTGTGAGCTGGACACTAGACAAGGGCTGTCATTGTAATTTGACTCAAATTGCTCAAAACAGGGCAAGGCTTGGTAGAAAATATGGAGAATCTTTCTCCATGGCTCCTAGTCATGGCTGCAGGCCATGATCCCCATGATTCCTGGGGATCAGCCTATCGGTTACCCAGCACCCAGGGCAATCTGGCCAGGGGAGCAGAGCAGCTCAATGGCAAACACCTCAATGACAGTGCATAGTTAAAAATCAAGGAAGCAATACAATAATCCCAGGCACAGTACATCTGAGCCATAAATACATTATTTTAAGGATATACTTTTTTTTTCTTCAATTAAAAAATGAGTTTATAATCCTGATTCTATTCACAAGTGACAATTTCATCATCACACACTACAGACAAGAGATGTTATGGTGAACACAGCTGCAGGTCTACAAGAGGAAGTCAGTCGGGCAGGAGGGGCAGAGGGTGACTGACCCGGCACTTCGAGGCGCACCCAGGACAACCCGTCAGAAGCGGGGACTCTAATGTGGCAGTGGAACATCAACACCATGGAAACTCACAGACAGAAGCAGCTTTGTGCAATGTAAACATTGATCTGTTTTTTTTTTGTTTTTTTTTTAAAAGGACAGCAGTTTCAAGTCTCTCACGCTCGCTCGCTCGCTCTCCTTCTCGTATACTTGTTTCTTTGAAAACGTAAACATATTGGAAGGGCCTTGTCTGAGGTATTGAGGTATTCCTCGAAGGTTAAGGCTGTGATCAATGCAGGCTCTGCTGGGCCTCTTTCAGTAAGCTGTCGAAATCCATGGCTTCGTACTTGCTTTTCCCGGAGGCGGGAAGGGCCTCTTCTGGATTGCAATCTGGGGGTCAGGGAGAGGGGAAGGCGTGAGCACCGTGGAAAGGTGTGATGCCCAGCAAATCCATGCTTGTCCATGGCCCTGTGGAGCGGATCTGGCCCTGGGCATCAGAGAGCAGGGACGAGCCCTGGGCAGTGAGCACTGATGCCATCCTGCTATGGTGTCTCTGCACACCATCAGCATCTCAGAGCCTCCACGGCCCTGTTGTAGAACAAAGGGCCCCCTGACCTAGGGCATTCCAGAGCTCCTTTCCAGCTATGACATCCTAGAGTCCTCCTACCTCACAGCTTCTTGCCCTTTAGTTTCCTGTTATTGAGTCACATGAGGGAGGGCCAGCAAAGATGGGATCTTGACCTTGTGCAGACAAGGGAACCTAATTCTACAAGCCTCCTGACACTCACCCTGTACTATGAAGCCCATCTCACGCTCTACCCTATACACTGCACTTCTGTGTCCTTCTTCACCAATATGTACCCACAAGGCAAGTGCATGATGATGGTATTATTATACCAAGGCCCACTAATGGGCACAGCTACTGCCTTGTCAGGAGTCACCATGGAAAGCCCCTTCCTGGACCAAGGCAGCAGTGGCCCTGTGAGTTAAGAGGGACAGCAAAGCCAGGGTTCCCAGAGGCCAAGGGAGACTTGACAGTCCTTAGTGCAAGTCACAGGACAGGACCCAGTGGGCCAGAAACCAGAAGAAAAACAATATGGTAATAATAGGTCAAGAGCTGCAGTTACACCAGTCAGCACACAGGGTTTGGGCACAGAGCCACATCTAGAAGGGGGCATTAGGTCAGGGTATCATTAGAGGAAGTCGTTGCCCCTGATGCTCTGGGTCTTACCAGATGTGGCAGGGTACTTACCATAGTCAGTGTATCTGGGCCAGCAGAAGTGCCGGAGCCCCCCGGAGCTCAGCTGGAAGGAGGGCTCATTGCGCTTGCTCAGGGCAGCGCCATTCCTCAGGGAGAGGGCTGCATGCTCAGAACACCGGTAGGTGATGAAGCCGTACTTCTCGCCTCTGGGGKGGGGAAAGACAAGGGGACCGTGTTTCCAGGCTGGCCTGGTAGACATTGTCAGAGCACGTATTACAAGAAAAACAGAAAGCCACAAGGATCTGCTGCCCACATCACCCAGCCCCCTAGTCAGAGAAGATGACGTTTGCTGGGCTGATCTCWGCTACATGATAATGAGAAGATGAGGTCATGAATGTTTGTGGGGTCAGGTGTGAGGCACGTGTTTGGCTCTTTAGGTGACCCTGTAAGGTGTGTCATCTGCACCTTATCATAAGGAAATCACTTGCTGGACTCAAGGAGCTACTCAAGGGCAAGCGACAGACAGAGCAGGGATTCAACCCAGGCCTCCCAAGGTTAAGGTCAGTGCTCCAGGCATTCCCTGCATCTCCTACTCTTGCTGTCCCTGCCCCTGACCTATACCATCCTACTACTGTGCCATTCCCACCCACAGTAACTAAGGGGCCCGACTTCTCCACATCCTCACTAGCACTTATTTGCTGTTTTTTCAAGCCATCTAATGGACAATGAAACATGTGACTGACTGTTACCCAAGAAACTATTTTCTTTGATACTGGGGATTGAACCCAGGGGTGCCTTCCCACGGAGTAACATCCCAGCCCTCTTTATTTTTTTATTTTGAGGCAGGACCTTGCTAAGTTACTAAAGTTAACCTGGAACTCGAAATCTCCCTTCTAGAGTTACTAGGATTACAGGTGTGTGCTACGTCAGTAAGAAACGGTTTTATTATTGACGTTCTTCATTATTTTTATTTATTTTGTTGGTACCAGGGATTCAATCCAGGTGAGAATTGAGACAGGGTCTCATTAAGTTGCTGAGACTGGTCTCCAACTTGCAATTCTCCTGCCTCAACCTCCCAAACTGCTGGCATGACAGGCACTTGCCACCACACCAGGCACGCATTATTATTTTTAAGTCACAATTTAAAAATGCTAATAACTTAGTTTGCAGGCGTAATGGGAGATAATTTAGAAAAATTTCAAAACTGATAGTTTTGACATCTCAATTGCACATTCATAGGCAGCCTGTTCTTTTTGCAGTTTCCCTGACAGACGAAACACTGTTTCCCAAGTGAATGAGGAAAAACCAGAGCTGCCTGCAGAAAGGAGGCCCAGAATTTCTACTGCAGAGGAAGGAAGTGGTGTGAGTGGCATCAGGACCAGGCAGGGCAAGGCCCCTATGCAAGTGTGTCTTTCAGCTGCCAAAGGCTGTTGCCCTGCACTATGACACATGGGTTCCAGTTTTGTTTTTTCCAGGAAGGTGCTGCTCAGTTAACTTGTCTGAGTGCCCCCAGAAGGAGAGCAACAGAAAGAATAAGCATGCCTGTCATGTGCATTCAAAGGTTAGACAAAGGAACACATGGGGACTGCCTGATGCGTAGTAAACCCTCAGCCATTACTGGCTGCATGACCACTGCTGCAAGCTAAGGTTGGATTTTGTTGCATTTGTTACACACAGACCTTCTCAGGTGCCTTCTATGCACCCGGCCCTGGATGGGGACCTGAGCCTGACCTGCTTGTCTTGACTCACCTCTTACTTCTTGTCAGCACCTGACACTCTACAATCTCGCCAAACACCTCGAAGCGCTTCTTCAGCTCTCGGGAGCTCATGTCACTGGAGAGATTTCGAACGTATACCACACGGCCTTCACCCTGTTCGAGAAGGGGGACACAGAGGGACTCGGTCATGGTCATTGCTCCCATAGTCTCCTCATCCCTGTCTATGCCTGGCTGAGCAGCAACACCAGCTAGAATTAGAGAGAGGACAACACCAGAGGACCTGCCCTTGTATGGAGCAGGGGCAGTGGCGTATGGAGGGAAGTGGCCTCCAGAGGGAGCAACTGTACACATGAAGGCGGCCAGGAGAGGCTGGCTGGGAGGGAGGGGGCTTATCACCCTCAACTGAATTGCACATTAGGTGCCTTCTCGCTTGTGTTTGGAGTGTGACAGGGAGAAGCTGGGTGGAAACACAGGACACTAAGGACGAGTTAAGAGCCAGGTAGTTTGCAGGGGTCACAGCGGACTGGAAGGAAGGGGGAGTCAGGGCTATGACAGCCACCATTGTCTTTGATTTTCCCTGCAGGGTAAGGTGGTTGAAGCCACAGAACAGACATTGTGACAGAGAGGTCACCTCTAGGAGAGCTTGGTGCTATGCCAGAAGGTGCTCAGAACAGCCTGGCGGAAGGAGGGGGTGGGGAAGCCCAGGCTGCAATCTCCCTCTTCCCCTTAAGATCTGTGATTTGATCTGGTTGAAGTCATTGCATGGACACCTGTGCTCCTGTAGGCAAAAGAGCAGAGTGTGGTTTGGACACACTGTATTTCTCCAGGAATAGGCCATACTCAGCACTCCTCTAGCCACCCCACCTGGGCACCCATAGTGTCCAGATGGCAAGAAAGAAAAGCAGGCCTGGGCTCCACAGCAGAATCGTGACAATGGTCACAGGAACTGTAAGCCTCATACCATGATGTGCCTGCATGCAACTCTCTAGAGAAAGCCCCTCCTCCCAGCCTTCTGGAGGCTTCTTGCATGCTTAAAGCCCTTTCCTGCCCCCACCCAAACATTCTGCTCCAGAGTTTTGCTGGTTGCCCCTTTTCACGTCCCCAGGCCCGGCTCCATGAGACCCCTTCTCCCGAGACCCCTTCTCCCCAGCCACCCATGCTCTCAACAGTCCAAACAGGACTGTAAATTTCAGACATTTTAGACACGATGTTAATTTCACAGTGCTTATCCCAATCCTTAATTCCATTGTTTTCTCCTTCATTTACAAGTCTATTGTCTTTCCCTTCTGCCCCAACCATGTGATGAGGGGGCCCTTGTCTGTTTTACATGTTGTTATTGCCCAAAGCATAGGCTGGCACTAGGCTTGTCAAGACAGAGGCTTGTCAAGCAGGGGAGGCTTGTCAATCATGGGCTAGAGAAGATGCCATGCTCAGCTGTGGTTGTAAGCACTGCTTGCAGACAGCTGTGCACCTCTGGGGCATGCAGCTCTCGTGTGTACCCTGCTCCCTGAAGCACAGCATTCAGTGGGAGTCATCTGTCCTTTTGCATTTCTGTCCTACTTTCCCCCCCCCTTCTCTCTAGTGGTACCACACAGCTGGCTGGCTATAGCTCCCCACTGCAGGCTACTGATGGATCCTTCACAGCCTGGGGACAAACTCTGGGACAGGATCAGGGAGGTGGGTAGAGAGGGGGGAAGGCTGTCTTGGTCTTTTCGCTCTGATTAAGTTGGGAAAAACCTTAGGAAGCACCAAGCCCAGCATCCTCATGTGCAGATGACAAAACTGAGGCTCAAGGAAGATTAGGACCTGTCCAAGGTCACACAGAGGGTGGTGGCAGGGCTGGCTTGTGACATGGTCAGCCTGGTTCTGCTCCCCACTACTCCACCTCTCCTCTTGGCCTCCTCAAGACCCCTGAAGCTAAGCTCTAAATCGCCACCAACTGTGTACCTCATGTCCAGCCTATTGGCTGAACTCTGCCTGGTTGCCACTTTTAATAGCCTTAGGTGACCCTGGTGATATTCAAATGAGGAGAAAAAATTGTGTTCTGCAGGCCACAGTCCCTTAGTCCAAAGGCAGGGGTTGAAGGCTGAGCGGCCAGCGCTCTCACGCCTGCTAGCCACCCTGGGGGCTCGGGGCTGGGGGGGGGGCCCAGATCACTTACAATGGCCTTTTCCCGCCGCTTCCTGGCATGCCGGATGCTTGGGGTTCCGTCTGAACATGGCCCTCTGCTCTCACATCTGTCAGTGAAAAGCAAAGCAGAGGCACTCACTCTCCGGAAGGAGCCGGACGGGCGGGGCACGGGGCTCCTGGGGGCGGGGCTGCTGGGAGGCGGAGCTTCTGGGGGCGGGGCAAGGACTTCTCTAGGGTCCACCAGAAGTCCAGCTTCCCCTGGGCGATGAGAGCCCAGGGTCTTGCGCTGGCCTCTAGGCCTAGATACCTGGACCGCTGGGGCACTAATTATGACCCCGCCCTTCTGTGCCTTGCCTTTCTCTGCCATTAGGGGTGGAAAGGGCCAAAAATCCTATGGAGCATGTTTTCCAGATGAAACACCAGAGCCTCAGGTTCAGGATGGGATTTGCTTAAGGCTAGAAAGGGGAGAGGTCTGATGGAGGAGATATTCTGGCTCCAGAACCAATGCTCTCTACTGATTGGTGCCCCAGCCAGGAACAGCTCCCCACTTGTTCTTCCCAGCTCCCTGTGTTTGGCTGAGCTCTGGGGCTTATCATCCACATACTGCAGCCCTCCCGACTCTTCCCTACTCCAGTCTGAGTCCTTGAGAACAGAACTTAGAGGATAAGAACACTGGCTCAAATAGCCAGTGTTAGGGCTGGGCTCCATCGCCTGCTGCTGGGTGGCTTTGGACCAGTCACTTAAGCCCTCTCAGCACTACTTCTTTATCTATAAAATAGGGATAATCAATTGAGTCCGCCTCCTCCTTGGTCATTGGTGAGGATTAAATTTTTTAAAAATGCACATAAATGCTTCACCCAGGAACTACAATAAACACTTGCTCAGTTTTTTTAATTTAACCTCTCTAAGCCTTAGCTACCTCATCTATAAAATGAGGATAAAAAGCAGCTAGGCCCTCCACATGCATCTGTGAGGCTCAAATAGGGTAAGAGGTATGTGATTTGCAAATTTTAAAGTGCTATAGAATAGGGCTGGGGTTGTGGCTCAGTGGTGGAGCACTTGCCTTGTACATGTGAGGCACTGGATTCGATCCTCAGCGCCAAATAAAAACAAAATAAACAAAGATATTGTATCCATAAAAAAAGTGCTATAGAATAACTGGTCACCACTCATTTGCAACAGAATTGGTCAACATTCTCCACCTAAAGGGCTAAGAGTGTCTGGAAGGTGTTGTAGAGTTCAATTTATGCTATTAAACTAGCCTCGACATGCTGCTTATTGCCTGAGACTGGGTAATGGTGAAGATAGTGGGGCTGGAGAAGGCCAAGTACGAGTTTGCCAGGCTTGTCAGGTACCCAGCCCTGCCCAGCAGCTGAGCAAGGACTGAGATAACCAATTTACTCCTTCTAGTGAGCAGACAAAGCCAAGCCTCCACATGACCCAAAAGTGAGATGAGAAAAAGGAGAACCTGTGGGAGTTCCAGAGAGGGTCTCAGCTCTGGGCCTGGGATTGCAGGCCCAGCTCTAAACCTGAGCCAGGCAAGTCAGAAAGAGATCAGAGAACTTCTGCTCTGGTCATGGGGGATGGCTTCAAGATCAGGAGAGCTCTGGAAGTACTCTGAGTAAACCTTCACAAAGGATACTGTCTTGTGTGGAAATCAGTTATTTCACAGCAAAGCAAGGTTAGAACTGAACCTTGACCATGGAGGGTTTCAAGGCCAAAGCTGCCCCTGGAAAGAAGAATGCAGCCAGAAAGACAGGCCCAGAAAGACATCCTCAGAGAGGTCTGCTGGAAGACAACTGGGACCCATGTCTCCCGCCTTAGTACGGAAAAGGGCTGATTAGAGAAAGTGCTAGGGAACTCATTTTCAGGAACAGATGATTTAGGGCTTCTTAATGTTGGTTTTGTGGGGAGTCCACGAATCCCTAAAATTGATGTTTATGCGCAATTTAATGGGGAGAAAGGCCTTTGCTTTAAGGAGATGTTCAAACAATTAAGAGCCATGGGTATAAATGTGCAATTATAAAGCTGACTTTTTCTAAGAAAAGGTACATCTATATGACCTGAATTCTGATCTCAGAGGATGGCACTTTGGCAATGTCATCATTACCTGGGAACTGGTTAGAAATGCAAATTATCCTCCCCCACAGATTCAGATACTTGGTGGAACTTCCAAAGCAGCGCCTTAAACCCTCCAGGTGATTCTGCTGCTTGGACCCAGGAACGCCACCTAGTGGCCACTCAGGCACACCTTCGGCACAGGGCAGGAAGGGCACTGACTGCCCACACCCCTGCCCAGGATGAATCAGAGAGCAGCCAGTTCCTCCAAATGTGCCAAGCCTCCATGCTCTCTGCCTAGCTCCCCAGCTGACTTTTGGACTGGTTCCCTCTCTTGTCTGGTTCAGTGCACAAAGATGGTGTGAGCAAACAAGCTCATGACGCATAGTCTCTCCACGGGGCTTTTATTTTTTTTTTTAATTTTTTTTTTAATTAATTAATTAATTTATTTATTTTTAGTTCTCGGCGGACACAACATCTTTGTTGGTATGTGGTGCTGAGGATCGAACCCGGGCCGCACGCATGCCAGGCGAGCGCGCTACCGCTTGAGCCACATCCCCAGCCCCTCCACGGGGCTTTTAGAGGGGCGGCCCATGCTGAAGTCAGGAAGCAATGCACAGTTTAGCAGGACCAAGAAATGGGAATAAAGCTCATCACTGCTTTAATCCAGGTATTTTTCAGAACACTAATTATTTTTTTCCTTGTGATATTGGAGATTGAGCCCAAGAGCACTCTACCACTGAGCTATATATCCCCAGTCCTTTTTATTTTTTGAGACAGGATCTTGCTAAGTTGCCCAGGCTGGCCTTGAACTTCCAATCCTCTTGCCTCAGCCTCCTGAGCCACTGGGATTGCAGGCATGCACCACCACACCCAGCAATGGCTACATTAACCCTTCTTTTACGTGTTAATGTTATATAGGTTTTAAACTATGTGGGCCTGTGAACATTTGCAGAAAACCTATCCATTTGACAAATACAGAAGCAGAAAATAGAATAGGAGCAATTTCATTGAGACAAGGCCATGAATGGCCAAGAGATCTGGAACACACCTCAGTGCCACATGCCAGGCTTTGCTTGCCTCCAGGAACACACCACAACTCACCCAAGAGGGGGCTATCTTCAGGGCCTCTGACCCGCACACAGCCACACCAGGAGATGCAGCCCTAGTATCAGGGGACTTTTCCCACATCTCCTTCCTCCTCTGGCACCCTGGGGAAGGGAGCCCTCAGCTGTCCACTGCCCCTCCCGAGGTCGTCCAGCCTTACCTGAAGTTCCTCCGGGTGGCTGGTGACCAGGAGCGGCAGGATGAGGAGCCAGAGCTAGAGCGGCTTCTGGAACAGAGCTGCCRACTGGCCTTGCTGGGTGGGCTCTGGTAGGGGCAGTGGTCAGAGCGAGGGGGGCTGACCCCTGAGTCCTCTTCTTCATCGTCCTCCTCTTCCCTCTCCTCATCTTCCTCCTCCAGGAGGAAGCTGCTCTCACCACTGCTGCTGCTGCTGTCCTCAAAGACCGTGTCATATTCAGGACTCTTGCACGAAGCCAAGTCTTCGTCCTCCAGAGCCGTCTCCAGCAGCCCAAAGTGCTTGGTGAGGCTGGCGCGGATCTCGTGGTCTCTCAGCTGAGCGCTGTCCTTGGGTGGGGCGCTGGCCTCACAGCTTCGGGCTTCCTCCTTCCTAGAGGCCTGCATTTCAGCCTTTGAGGAGGCACCTTGCTGGGGCCAGTCCTCAAGATGGACCCCAGATGGCTCCCAGGACCTCAGCACCTTCCTCTGCATAGTGCCCTCTGGCCTGAGCACCTGGCAGTAATCATGGTCTCCAAAGGAACAGGAGAAGGGGCGCTTCTGGCCAGCCTGGGAGGCCGGCTGGGCCGTGGCATGCCGCAGGTGGGACAGAAGCTCGCTGCGCTCTGGGTGCTTCTTGGGCAGCTTGTGGGCAGGCCCTGTGGTGGCCGTGAGCTGGAGAGCCTCAGGGGTGGGGGTGCTGGGGGCTGTGTCTTGGCCCAGGCTGTGCTTGATGTCAGGCTTGAAGGGGTCCTCCTCGGTGGGCTTGTATGGGGGTGTGGTGGGTGGGGTGAGTCCTGCCCAGCAAGGGGAGAAACACATGCAGTGAAGGCAGCTTCCTTCTCCAAGGAACAAATCCCAAACCTTAATTTGGAATTTGGGATTTAGGATGGAAAAGAAGTGGCTATGTGCCACCCCCACGGACAGAGGGTAGGCCTCACTAACTGATCCTGCACTACTGCTTCAATTCTGTGGAGTTGGCATGAGACAAAACGAGTGTGCTGTCCCTTCTGTGGGTTGGTAATGGTAGCAACAGCCCCCAAGTCATCACAAAGTTTCTCCTGTTCCACCTCCCATCATCCAAAGGGGCCTGCTCCAGGTGTCTCCCAGCATGCATCAGGGCAGGCTGCATGGGCAAAACTGCCCACCTGGATCTGACTACCATCGTGTTCTTGCTGCTCCTGCACCTGACCCTGGCTTCCGTTCTCCCCAGTGCACCAGAGGAACTTGCCCAGCTCCTCCTCTCTGGAGCTCCTGAAGGCCTACAGGGTCAAGACCAGACACCTCTGCATTTTAGCCCTTTTGTGGCTGCTTTTCCTGACCTGCCCTCTACCACTTAGAAAGACCAGGTGACCAGCATCTCCAGTGTGCCCTGGGAATTCCACTCCCCCACCACCTCCACCCCTCTGCCTGGCTGCGTCTCTTGCCAGGCACACCCTTCCCCTTTGTCTTTCCAATGTCCATTCATCCTTGAAGGCAACTCATGCCCCTTGCCCTGCACTCTGCCCAGCCCTGACCCTCCTGTGCTGTCAAAGCTTTTATGAAATAAAAGCACATCAAACAGCGCTTGACAGGGCGTGAGTCTGTCCCTCACAAGACTGCGGGCTCCTCCAGGGAAGGAGGAGGACGTGGGACATGCATGGCCAGGAGTCTTGCCACGCCCCCAAAGGCACTCCACCAGCTTCGCCCCCTGCTCACCTGCCGTGCCACAAAGCTCCACTGTCAAGGTCTGCTCAAAGCTCTTCTTGCCAAAAGGAGGGTCACTGATGGGGTCAGGGAAGACAGAAAGGAAAATGGCAGTCAGTAGCAGGCTCCCACTGCCCTGAGCATTTGAGGTGGGGTGAGGAGATACTAAGATGGATCCTGGTTCTGCTGCCATGGAAGGGGAGTGGGGCACTGGGAGAATTTGCTGGGGGACCCTACCCTGGCTGTTGGAGGAGTTCAAGTTGCTTTTAGGAAACTCAGGCAAGGTTTGCTGGAGGGTGAGGAGAGGACAAGGTGGGCCTCCTTATTTTGACAGATAGGGCTAGTGAGGTCCAGAGGGGGAATGGAACTGGCCCCAAGTCACATGGCATTATCAGCTTTTCCCTTGGGAGAAAAGCACTCTTTGCAGCGTCCTGGGGAGGGCAGCTTATGAAATGGCCTGGTGAACCCCTCCCCAACACACACGTCCAACAAGACAAAAGCTCACAGAATAATATACCAATAATTTCTAAAAATCTACCTTTGTGACAAGGCCAGCATGAGGCACCTGGGAGAGTCTGAAAATAAGACAAAAAAAAAAGCAAAATGAGCTTCCCTGACATGGCATCATGAGCAGACGTTTCCCCTCCAGAGACCTCAAATTTCCAGGGGCGGGGCAAGCACCAAAGCCCTTTGGGCAGGTGACCCAAACACCGTGGCCATGTTAAGGAAGGACAGGAATAGCTCAAGTCCACCTCCATCCCGAGGTCTGGGCAGCCCATCACCTTGACTCTACAGAAAGAGTAGATGGGCACAAGGTCAACCCCTTCTGGCCACTGAGTAGCACAGTGGCAAAGAGCTCAGACCGCCCTACCCCTGTGGGTTCTGGACAGTCCTGCTCAGGGCGGATCACTACCCAGCTCTGGGCCTCACTTTCTGTGTCTTCAAATGGAGATGATCACCGTGCCTACCACACAGGTTTCTTGGAGAAATCAAAGGGGAGATCTGTGTCACATTTCAGACCAGTGCCTGGCATGGGAAGTACCCAATAGATGACAACCACCACTGTCATTAGCATTTAAAATTCAACTCCACTGTGGAGCTGAACTTACGGACATATCTCTGCCACATCAGCCCTGGTCAGTCTTCTTCGGGCACCTACCACAATTTGTGATCATCCTCCTTTCTGTTTACTTTTGGATTGCCTGTCCCCCTCACTGAAACAGGCCCCAGGAAGGCCAGCATCTGGCTCCCTGTTCTTTAAGCAGTACCTTGACCACGCGTGATGAAAAACTCAGAGGTGTCCTGGTGTCTTCCCGAAAGTCTGCCCCAAAAGCCCAGTGTACAGACAGGAAAGTGGGAAGAAAGCCAGAGAGGGAAAGGGACCTGCCACATGGGGTTGGGGACTTGAGCGTGGGGGCTCCAGGGCCACACCCACCCTGCCCCTCTCTCGTAGACCCCTGACGCTTACCACCTCTGGAAGGGAGGCGTGGGCAGCTGGGGTCCTCATCCGTGTCCCCACACCCACTTTCACAGGGGCTCTCCAGGGCAGAGATCTGGGGTCCTCGTAGGAGCTGCTGGTCTTGGCCACTGTCCTCGTCTGTGGGGCTGCCCAGCTCTCCTGCCATGTCATAGGCCTTGGGAGCCAGGCATAGCGAAGGCAGAGCACCTTGGGGCTCTGAGGAGACCAGCAACTCATCAGTGAATGTCAGCCAGGGGCCCAGCTCGGGGTTCAGTCTCCGGGAGCGGCGCACTGGGCACACAGAGCTCTCCAGCTTCTTCCCCAGCCTGGCCCATGGCAGGCCTCGGCCCGGCCTCTTCCTGCCCCACTCCTCCTCCTCCTCTTCTTCCTCTTCCTCCTCTTCTTTTTCTTCTTCTTCCTCCTCCTCTTCTTCCTCCTCCTCCTCCTCCTCCTGCTGCAGCCGGGTAGAGCGGCTAACGTCCCCCTTCACCTCCAGGCGCAGAGGGCGCAGGCTTGGCCTGGGCCCAGTGTTCTTTGGGGAAGCCGCCACCCTCACCTCCTCCACCGGGGAAGGGTGAGCGGGGGAGGCCTGGTTGTCCTTGGGGGGCCTGGGCCTCGGCCGGGGAGTGAGGGAGGCATAGACAGGCGTGGCCAGGCGGTAGGGTTTGCTGACATCGCAGAGGACATCTTGAGCCAAGAGTTCCCGCAGGATGGAGAACTCAGCCCAGGAGGCTTTGGRGGGGTGCCGGGGCCTGGCCCTGGAGGGGCTGCTGCATGGCTGGGGGGGTGGCTCTGGGGCCTGTGGGGGCAGCTTCCTCTGGGGGAGGCAGTAGGTGTGCATGTATCGAATGAGCTGCACCATGGCCTGCACGTCCTCCTGGGGAACCTGGGCACTGGGGCTTGCCCTGCCCGGTGCCAGGGAGTCCCGGGGAGAGGCTGGAGCTGGCTGGAGACTCAGGCAGTCCTCCCCTGGCTCCTCCTCCTTCTTGGCAAGGAGCTGGGGACTCGGGGGCAGTGCTGGCTGCAGTCCCCTGTCGGGGGAGGAGGCTTTTGCCTGGGAGCAGGACGGCACCGAGGTGAGGTGCTTATGCAGTTCTGCACAACTCCTGTTGGGAGACCGCTGCATGGGGGCCTTCTTATCGTGGGTGCTGTCCATCTAGAATGAGAAAGAGGCCAGAGTGAGGAGGGAGGGACACACTACTCCCTCTGCCCCATCCCCACAGCCAGAGCTGGCCCAATGTGTTGCGCTGCATCATGGAAATAGCCACGTTTCCTTCCCTCCATTCCCAGCCTTCAGCCCAGAGCCTGGCACCCAGCCATATTCGGTTGGTAAAGAATGAAAGAATACCCAGCCCCTAACATGTCTCCCAGCCATGGAATTTGGCCCTTGCAGACCCTGCCAGATGTACCAGAGGCCTGCTGTGAGCATCCCACATCCCCACCCCACACCCATCAGCAACAGGGCCAGGAAGTGATTGGTGGCCGCCTGGGGTGGGCTGTGGGAAGAATTCGCAATAAACAGGGATGTCGGGAAGCATTCTGGGATGATGGGTATGTTCTAAAACTGGACCGTGGTCATGACTGCCCAAGCCTAGAGAATTACTAAAAATCATAGAATCGTTCTTTTTAAATAGGTGGCTTTCCAACACTCTGGGGGCTGAGGCGGGATGATCACTTGAGCCCAGCCTGGGCAACCCAGTGTGATTCCCACTCAAAAACAAAACAAAAACAACAAAGAGGGGGCTTTCATGACGTACAAATGGCACTCGAATAAAGTTGTTATAAAAAAGAAAACAATTTAGCAGCTTCCCAGAGCCCAAAGGATAAGGGGAGGCTGCTTGGGCAGGTATCCGAGGTCCTCTGTAATCTAGCACCAGCTGACGTCACTCGAGCCTTCTCTGCCCCCCTCACGGTCCACTTCCCTCCCAGGCCCACTTGTGGTTTTGCTGGGGCTTTCTAACAATGGCTGTCAGCTGTCTCTCTTTCTGCTGGGCCTCCCAGCCCTGCAAAGGGCAGCACTGGCTCTTGGAGGGGCTTGGTTGCTGCCCCTAGAAAAATGAAACACACAAGAGGGTAGGCCTTTGGGAGGTAGCGCAGGGACAGGGGCCTGCCCCCTGGGGACCCCAGCAAGGGGAGAGGCTCCCACACTGCACCCCTGTCAGGCAGGCACCTGATTCTGCTTCTAGGGTGCAGAACCATGTGCAGCTGTCCCCTGGAGGAGTGTGCAGGGGCAGGGGGCAGAAGAGTGAATGTGGCTTTGAGGAGCAGAAACCCCTCCTCCTTAGGCTTGGACAATGAGGACCAAGAAAGAAAGGGGACATGCTTTAGCCCTTGGAGTTCAGAGCACCAAACTTTCCAATGGCTCTGTTGACTGTGGCCTTCACCTCTGAGGATGATCCTCCTTTGGTCTGTCACCCTGTTAGAACTTGAGCCCCATGCTGGCCGCACCTTCCTCGGTCAGCTCTAACCTRTGTTAATGTCTATCAGTGCCTGATGCACGGAGGCATGTCAAAGCCCAGCTCTCCTTCCAGGAGCGCACTCTGCAAGGTCTGTGTGAGCAGCAGCAAGAGAGGCTGCTGGGGACCAAACCTGCCATCCCTAGCCAGCGGTGACGGTGGTGCCCTAACAGGCCGCCTGGGATCTCAGGTAGACTTCTGGGCAGGTGCAGAAATACCTTGACACAAGACCGCTGACTTCTAGACCTGAGGCTGGCCTGGCGCCAGGTGGTCCCCTCCTTCTGGATGTCAGAGCTTGATGTCGGGGAAGATGTAGCCAGGAGAAGCTTCTGCAACTGGGGGAGAAGCAGAGGGAGAGATGCATGGCCAGCCCCAAGGCTGACCACACCCTGATCCAGCACCAGACTACGGGGAGAGCATGTGACAGTCTAGAATGATGCTCCCAATACAGTAAGTACAGGAAGTTGATTGGCTAGTGATCCTAAACACACACAAATGTCCCACTATCTTGAAAGTCCTTTCAGAATCACCAACCCAAGAGCTTGGCAATGACTTTGAGAAACCCAAACACATCATGGGTAATGCCTACCGATCCTGCTGTTAAAACAGTACCAGGCAATCTGCATACACTTGCACTAGACACACACATGCACGCGAGTGTGAGCGCACGCACGCGCGCGCGCACACACACACAGACACACACACACACACATCTGGGAGATTAGGTACCAAAATGATTCTCTGATGTGAGATTCCAGCTGATTTCCCTTTGTTCATTCACACTACCTTTAAAAATTTAATTTCTTTGATTATGTAAGTTAATACTTATAAATATCACAAACACTAAAATGGAAAATTAAAAGAAAGGCTTCCTCCTAGCAGGGTGCAGGGGCTCATGCCTGAAATCCCCGTGACTCAGGAGGCTGAGGCAGGAGGATCAAAAATTTGGAAGCCAGCCTCAGCAAATTAATGAGATCCTGCCTCAAAACAAACAAACAAACAAAAAATAAATAAAAATAACTGAGGATGTGGCTCAGTGGTAGAGCACTTCAGGGTTCTACACACACATGCATACACATAAAGAGTCTTCCTCCTGCCCAAGGTCCCTTTCTCCTTCTCGGAGGCAAGTGCCACTAACTACTTTCTTGTGACCCTATCCCGGAGATGGTGGCACTGATCATACAAGAATACACATGGATATGTCACCTCCAACCCACTCAGATATTTTTACACAGGTGGAATAATGTTACAGTTAACTCGTTAGACTTTTGTTCCAGGTTTTTTTTTTTTTTTTTTTTTTTTCTACAAAGATTGTTGAACTCCCCTGCTTCTGAGCCCCGTGGGCAGGCGCACAATGCATCCAAGCTGAGAGAACAGAGGCTGAGCACATCTGCAGGTTCTGCCCAGGATCCATCAGAGCTGAGAACTAGGCAAGAAATGTGATGGAATTTTACATCCTGGGGGACATGCCCCCAAAGCACCCAGCGAACACCAAAGGCTGGGCCTCCTGAGGAGCCCATGATCTTGCTATACCCCAAACCACATGCAGGCCTGTGACTCTCTGACTTTGGATTGGAAAAGACCCTTGGCATGACAAGGACAGGGAGGCAAAATGAATGGACCAGAACCTTCTTTTTGACTCTCAGAACAGAAACTGCTGACCTTGGAAAACACAGAGACATGCAGAGGTCCATGGATCCTTCGAAGTCCATGGGTGGATATTCTGGGATCCAGGACAAGACCTGGGGTCTGGATGACTTCATTGGGCCTTTCTAGAACTGGCAGTATACTGAGGGCCTAGACAGTGAGTTTGGTTCCTAGAAGCGTGAGCCTAGAAGCGTCTATAACAGAAGTGCTCAGAGTGTGGGGTGAAGGCAGATGGAGACTTGGCCAGGAAACCACCTTTGACCAGCAGGGGTCGCTCTTTGCCTCTTTAAGAAATGGCACTGAGGATTCTTGTTACTTCCAAGGGTTGTGCCAGGACTAYGAATTAGCTAATGTCTACTGAGCAAGCATATATGCCAGGTACTGTTCTAAATGCTCCCTATATAATACCTGCTGTATAGTCTCCTAATAGCCTTTGAGATGGAACTATCATCCAACCCGCATGGGTCAGGAAACTGAGTCAGAGAGGCTTAGGGAGGCTGTGGGCCTCAGGGAACCACAAGCACTGATTGGCAGGGATGGGATTCACACTCAGGCAGTTTAACTCCATTCTGGAAGGAAGCAGGGTCCCATTGGCAGAAGCCATGATGTGAGATTGGAAATATTCTGTGTCAGCACATAGTAGGTACTTACTAAATATTTCCCACTGCTTTGAGGACCTTAAAGACCCCAAAGAGAGAAGACAGAGTACCTTCAACCAAGAGTCAGAAGACCTGGGTTCTAGTCTTCGCTGGTGCACCAACTTTCTGCTTGACCTTGGGTGAAGACAGCCTCAGAGTTGGGCTTGGTGGTCACCAAGGACCTTTCCAGCTCCAACTCCCTGAGACCTAAGAACCCTCCCAGCCCTGACAGGTTCTGGTTTTCCGGCTGTGCCTCATTGGCCCCCAGGAGCCACAGATCCAACGTGAGGGAAGAGCCCAAGACAGGCAGCACGACTCAGCCTGAGTGGAGGGCAGCCCCGGCAGTAACCCACGAGGTCCAGACCCTTTGAAAATCTGATCAAAGCTGACATCTTCTCCCCAGGAAGCTGCTCTTCTAAGCACACATTCCGACACTCCTCAGACACTCTCACAGAAGGCATTTAACGTGCTGGTGGGAGTGTAAGTTGGCATGATCTCTTTGACGGGTAATCTGGAAAGATGTGTCTAAACTGAAAATTTCCCTATCCAYGGACCTAGGGGATCTGTTTCTAGGAATTTATCCATTTACCCGGGGCAAAGGCCTACATATGACGGCAGCACTATTGGGGACAATGGTGGAGTTAAAGGAATATAAATATCCATCTGCAGGGACATGGTTAAACAGATGTGACACATCCTCAACCAGGAACACTATACAGCCACAAGAGGGACAGCACAGCTCCATACGTTCATTTGGAAGAGTTCCCAAGACACATGTTAAGTGAGAAAGTAAGGTGCAGAATGGTGGAGGAGCAGGCTTCCTTTTGTAGTAAAAAGAAAAAAAAAATTAGGTGAAGAGGAAAGTCACATAACAGATCGGTAACCATGGTTACCTCTGGGGAAGGACAAAGCAATTGTGAGAGGGCTGAGGAGGTTTTGCTTTTAACTGTCCACACTTCCTGCCTGGATGTTTACCATGTGTACATAATCTTTAGGAAAATGTTTGCATGCAATTTCAAGGATTTAACATAGGACTAAGGTCAGTCTTCRAAATCCCATGGAGCCTACAGAATGTAGATGAAGCCTAGTCCCACTGCACAGGAGGGAAAGGTGAGACCCAGAGAGGCCTCCCACCTCCAGTCCAGGCCCTCCTCTGGAAACCACATCACCGTGATGCACAGGGACCCAGGTTGGGCTGGACTGGTGCTTTGCACTCCCACCCCTGCAGACAGATCCAAATGGCAGCCTCCACCACTGTCTCAGCTGGAAATAGGTTCTCACCAGCGAGAGCTCATCCACGTCCGAGGCTGGGGCTGGGGGCCTCTCCCTAGYGGGGCTGGGGGGCGCAGACAAGGGGGCRGGCGAAGCTGCGGGGCAGCATGGTGCATCTCCTCCATCCAGGACCGGGAAGGCAGCCAGCCCCACGTCATCTTCAGGGATGTCGTCCAGGGTCTTGGTGAGCGCGGCCAGGAGGGCCTCATTCTCACTGTCGATCTGGAAGGAAGTGGTAGAGAGGGTCAGTCACCTGGGACATAGCTGCTCACCCTGCTGGACCACCACCCTCCTCCTGCCAACCCTCCCCTCCCTGTGCCCCATCAGATCCGCTCAGATTCCTGGGAGCCCAGGAAATGAGTYGCCGACTCCAAGGATCACAGAATTTTGTCAACAGGCAGGAGGTGGGAATGGAAAGGGATCTGCTCTGGAGTGGGAGACGGGGGGCAGAAGTCTGTCCACCTGAGTGAGGCTGCTCTAAACATGAAGAGCAGGAGCTCAGTGCAGGCCCCAGACACCAGGACCCTGGGGCCCAGGCAGGGTGAAGTTCAGAGCTCAACAGTGACAATGATAAGCAGTTCAACAAGAAAGCAGCTACCATTTCTTTCCCTGGGGGACCCCAGGGCTTGCCGTCCTTGCTCACGCTGGGTGAAGGGGTGGGTATGGTGGTCAGGAGCTCTGGGTGAATCCCAGGGTCCAAAATACTTAACAACAGTGGGCCCCTGGGCAAGTCAGTTTCCTCCCCTGTCAAATGGGGAACAGTTCCTACTCCAAGAGGTTCTTGTTGGGGACTAGATAAGTTAATATAGGTAAGATGCTTCCAAAACAGTTCCTGGCACAAAACAAGCACTCTCTATGGCTTCTGCTGCCATGATGACTATACCGCCATGCTCCCCTGTCTATGCTCATGACAAGGGGGTGGGGGGCGGGGTGGTGACGATTCCCCCACCTTCCCTCCCCTACCACAGGTCTACTCTGCACCCAGCTTTGTGCTGGACACTGGGACACTGRTAATACAGCCCCTACCCTCCCTGCGCTTACCCTCCAAAGGAGAGTAGAGGAAAACCAGGAAAGAATCAAGACCATTTCAGAACGTGGGAAAAGCCGTTAGGAAAATAAAAGGACGCTGTAATGGAAAGAAAGAATGTGGCCGAGGCTGCGGGCTATTTAGGCGGGCCACAGGAGCCCTCTCTGTACAGCTAACAAACTTAGGCTCAAAAGACAGGCAAAGAGCTTAGGAAAGAAGACCTGGGCCGAGGGGAAAGCCAGTGCAGAGGCCTCAATGAGGGCAGCACTTTCTAACCTTCATTTTCCAGGGGAGGAAACTGGCTCCCGGCATTTCAGAAACCTGTCAAGGGCAACCCAGCAAATGTGGGGCAGAGCCAGGTCCTGGACCCAGGGCCCCCCACACAGGTGAACAGAAGCATTTCCTTTTCTGYTCTGATCTCTGAGGGTGAGCATGCACAGCCCAGCCCCAGGCCAGAGGTGGGAGCAGAGATCACATTGCTTCCAGGTAAGCCATGGGGGCCTCAGTCGGGAACCCCTTGCTTCCCAAGCCTGTCCTGGCAGAAGCACATGCTGTCACATGATGCCTCCCGCAGCACGCATTCCCACCCCGGGTCAGGCTGTTTATCCCTTCCTCAGGAAGTTCATCTGAAATACACATCTCGTGACGGCCTTTTGGCTGCACTAAATCTGTTCCAAGCCTTGCAGCCGGAGCAGCAGCTGAGTAACTGGAAGGGGGGACACGGGGAGAGAACAAACGCATTTGTAATTTTTAGAACAGAGCTAAGAATAAAAGAAGGGTCAAAAGAAGAACTTGACGTGGCCAGCTCAGCTCAGCCCTGGGGCTAGGGGCCCAGAGACTGTGGCTCTGGCATGTAATGAAGGCTCACCTGGCTGCCCCCATGCCCTACCTGCCAGCCTCCCGGGCACTCGGGCCAGACGCCCAGTGTTGGGTTCCCAGAACAATTTGTCCCATCTGATGGTGAGTTAAGATGTGGGAACTCGGGGCCCAGTGGCCATGTTTGGAGCTGGTCACACAGTGCTCTGCCACTGACAGAGTAACCCTGATCAGATTGTTCCCCATATCTAAATCTCATTCCCTTTCTCACAGAATGGCAAGATATGGCCCCTGCTGGTGTCCCCTGCAGGGCTCCAGGCAGGCCACGCCTGGAGTGGTGACGACAGCACCTAGCTCTGTGCCCTAGCAGCCGTTAGGGAACAGCCGGGTTGTTGAATGAAGGAATGAATGAACCGAACAATGAACAATGGCGGGAGACTGGGTTCTTCCGTGTCTCAGAGGCCAGYGTCTAGAGGGAAGCCATCCAGAAATGACATCACCAGTGCTGGATGGGATGAGAATTCCCACTCTTTCCCAGGAACTGCAGTAAATGGCCCAGAATTATTGTGAATTTTCACATAGATCAGAGCTGAAAGGGCTCAGGGTGATGTAGTGACCAGGCGTGTCAAACACGTGGCACCATACCACTAGGTGACTGTGGTGCTGGTGGCTTCCATGCCAGTTTCTCTCTTGACACAGGGCTCCAGGCTACAACTACCAATCAATCGTGGTCGGTGCTGCCGAGACAACCTAGCTGCTACTCTTTGGGCTGGAGGGGCCTGAGACCCCAGGAAACAGATCTGACAAGGTCATTAAGCAAGTCAGGGATGGGGTCAAGGATGAGAACCTGGAACTTAGAGMGCCAACAATGGTTTTCCAAATGCCAGGCCCAGAGCAGAAATGAGTAGGAAATGGCAGAGACCTCAAGAAGCACCAACCAGGTTAGGTGAAAATAAAAATGACTAATGAAAGCCCACTCCCCAAGACTGCTCAGCTTGGGAACAGGCCGGTGGGGCTAGAGGCACAGAGTCAGCTGGGAAGAAAGGCCACACCTGCCAGGCCAGCCCAGCTCCCTCCAGACGAGGCCATCCCATAGGAACCCTAAGTTAACACATCCCAGGGAGCTGGCCACCCTCTTCTTTTTTCCCTGGGCCCATTAGCTCAGCTCCCCCTGCTCCGCTTAGAAGCCGAGTGCAAATTAATGGAGAGTTAATCAGCTGAGGAAGGATATTAATAGACCCAGCCCCACCCCCAGCCTTCCTGAGCTGATGTCAAGCTGGAGGAAAAGGAGCCTTCGAGACATGTGAGGGAAATGCTTCACTGGGGAACTAGAGCGGCTTGAAGGAATGGCTCAGAACAGCCTTTGGGCTGTCAGGGCTAAAAGAACTCCTGGAGATCCTCCACTACCCAGGGCCTTTCACGGAGGCCAAGAAACTCAGAATTACCTCTCCCCCTTTTTTCTGGGGGAAGGTCCATGAATCTCATCAGAGTCTAAAATAACTCAGGGACTCTCCTTTGTCCCCAACAGATTAGAAGCTACTGATCCAGTCCATGTTCCCTCTTCACACACACATGGGAAAACAGAGGCCCACCAAAGGGCGCTACCTGCCCAAGRTCACTCAGCACAGAATGGTCCAACACCTGCTTCATCTAGAAACAGTTACCAAGTGCCCTTGTGCTCCAGCCCTAAGAACCTTGAGGCACACAGAGAAATGGAACACAATGTCCCTGCCCCCAAAAGGTTGTCAATCTTTATAACTGTAGCTTGTTCTTCACCTTCCCAGACTGTTTCCATAGCAATAGTGCCACTCAATTGTTAGAACACAGCTCGGACGCAGGCAGCCAGGCGCGGTGATTCCCACTCGTCTCAGGGGGCCCCCCGGATCCCAGCTCAAGGCTTTTTGTTTGGTTTGGTTTGGCTTAAAATAAATAAATATATATATATATATATATATATATATTTAGTTGTTGATAGACCTTGATTTTATCTATTTACATGTGGCACTGAGAATCGAAAACCTGGGCAAGTGCTCTATGGCTGAGCGCCAGCCCCAGCCCATTCAAGGTTTTGATACTGGTTGTGTCTGACCTGTGGCAGGAAAGAAAAACGCTACAATCRGGTCAGTGTGTGAGGGCCCCAGATGAGGATCACATTGTCCCACGGTCTGAAGACACATGTGTACTAGCTGGTCACCCACAGAGGAAGCCACTGCCCAGCTGCTTCAGGAGGAGGCAACTCTAGAGCCAGGAGTCAAAGGGTGTGTTCACTGGATGACCATGTAGTAGGCCCTGACAGCGTGCAATGCCCAGGACATGACCCACAGTATGGACACAGACCCCACAGAGTATGACGGCTTCGTGGGGGTGAGGGCGGGCCCTACGCACACCATCAAATGCACAGCAGGTGCACAGGTGAGAAATGGACAGAGCCGGCCTTGGGCAGAGCTCTGCCAGCTGGGAGGACCATCTTCCTCACTGAGCTGGGGCCCAGGGGCTATGCCGGGCTCACTTGGGTCTGAAGCCATTCCATGCAATAGTAGGACTACAGCAGAGACCGCTGGGGGGTCTGGCCAGGAGGAGGAGGGGGGCCAGYGCTGTCCAGGTGAGGACTGTCTCAGGAAGCAGTCAACATGCTCTACGTGTCAGCTCCRCGCAACCCGAAAGCATTTTCAGAAGTTGGCCTCCTAAAGAGGGAAGGAGCCACACAGGGAGGGCCGCATCCTTGGTGTTCAGAGAAGAAAACAGAGGCCCCGGATGGAGCCAGGACCTCGGTCCAATCCTGCTGACTCCTCACGGGCGTGGCAAAGGGGTTCAGTGTAGCAGTGATGGTATGGGCTCCTTGATTTTAGCCTTCTCCCTGACCCTTCCTACTGTGTGACTTTGGGCAAGCTCCTTCATATCATTGAACTTCACTTTTCTCACCTGTAAAAACTTACAGCTAGAACAGCATCAGGGAAAATCCAGTCTCTTGGCCTGGTGCACAAGATTGCATGGTCAGGCCCTGCCTACCTCTCCTGCCCTTTGACCTTCACGTGGCTGTCTCCTTCTCTTCCTTGGGAGGCCTTTCCTGACCACCAGCCTGCAGAACCTTTTCTATTCCTGGGCTCATTTCCTCTAGTTCCCTGTCACAAGTGACTGCAGCTGTTTCCTGGTCTGGGGAAATGCCTCCTGCCAGCCTGTGAAGTCCACTGATGGACACGGTGCCTGACACACAGGGAGTTGCGTGATCCTTTCTAGAAGGACTGATAAAATCTGTCAGGAGGACCACCTGAGATGGCGTGTGGCACACCAGCAGGGCCTGTGGCACAAGGTGTGGTCAAGTTGCCACACAGGCACAGACAGCCACATGTCCATTCCCCAGTCTTTACGGGGGAGAAAAATTAAAAAAAAAAAAAAAAAAAAAAGAATGAATCAGAAGGAAGCCAGCACCCAGCTTCAACAGGGCCCGGCCTATTTCATCCCCTGCCCTCCATGCCTCACCCCCACACCCACGCACACAGAGCTTGCTTTGTCCCAGGCCACATATTCTTCCACCTATTGTGAGCCCCCAGGGCACGCAGGGTTAAGAGGTCTATGCACAGTGGTTCTTGGCACTGCCTTTTGTTAAGCGTACGCAGTGCCAGTGCCACTGTAGGCCCCACCTGGAAGATGGGGACAGCTGTATTTACAATTGAGAGTTGTCAGGAGAATTAAATGAGTTAATATATACACAGGGCAGTCCTACCACAGAACAGGTGCTCAAGAAATGTGAGTCCTTCTCAGAACGTTCTGGCTCAGAAGGCAGACTGGGTTTGAGTCAAGTTCAGTTACTGACTTAACTCTCCAAGCCTCAGTTTCCCTATCTGGAAAATAGTGGCGCTGCTTCATGGAGGTTCAATGAGACAATGTAGGAAACAGACTTTGGAGCCCCCAGCCCCAGAGGGTGTGGCTCTATGGGAGGCACAGAGGGACAGGTCACACTAGCCGTTACTTTCTTTTTTTGAACCAGAGATTGAACCCAGAGGGGCTTAACCTCTGAGCCACATCCCCAGCCCTTTTTATATTTTTTATTTAGAGACAGAGTCTTGCTGAGTTGCYTAGGGACTCACTAAGTTGCTGAGGCTGGCTTTGAACTCATGATATTCCTGCCTCATCCTCCCAATGTAAGCCATTGGGATTATAGATGAGCACCTCGGTGCTGGCTCTAGCCCTTACTTTCTGGAAGCGACAACACAGGCCAGATAAGTGGGTGAGAACTGGCCCAAGTCAGGTGCAGATCCAGAGGAAACAAGGTCTCAAGAGACTGGGTGGGTAGGAGACTCTTGGCATGAGAGGGTATAGAAGGTAATGCAGCAGGGCCAAGGACCTTGGGGGCAGACAGGAGTGCTGGCACTGTGGTGGGCTGGTGAGGCTGGGACGGCCTACCTGGAAGAGCTCGGAGTCGTCGGGGCTGTACTGGCTGGGCTCAGTCTCAGAGGTCTCCGGGCACCACTGCAGCTCTCCAAAGCAAGTGGCAGAGTCAAAGTCGCTGGCGTCCAGCTGGGAGAGGTCGAGCTCAGGAAAGTCAGCGCAGAGTTGCTCCTCCCCAGAACCCCCACCCTGCGGAGACAGGAAGGAAAAAGACACATCAGAGCTGAGCACAGCTTGACCCACGCAGGGCCTTCCTACACAGGATGCTGCCAACCCAGACCCTTGACCATGGCCAGATTTTGCCAAATGTCCCAAAACTATTAAGATCCACCCCACCCCTCACAATCATCAAATCTACCAGTAGCTAAGCCAGGCCTGGGGGTACAACCTCCCTGGGGCTCTCGCTCCTCCTCCTCTGCACTCCTACACATCCCTCAAGCCCTGCCCACACGGCGCCTCTTTCCTTTTACTGAAACTGTTTTGTTGAAAACTTGACTAGAGCCTGTAAACAGAGTCACTCCTTTATACAGCTGCCCCTACCTTCAAGAAAACTTCTTCTTCTTTTTAAAGAGAGAGAGAGAGAAGAGAGAGAAAGAGAGAATTTTTTAATATTTATTTTTCAGTTTTTGGTGGACACAACATCTTTATTTTATTTTATGTGGTGCTGAAGATCGRACCCAGCGCCCCRCGCATGTCAGGCGAGTGTGCTACYGTTTGAGCCACATCCCCAGCCCCTGCAAGAAAACTTCTTAAAGCTAACAATCCTCAATACTAATGAGGAAACAAAATATAGCAGCAATAATAGCTGACATTATTGAATGATGACCAGATTCTGGAGAAACACTCATGTTCTCAGGGATTTTAGAGGGTTATCTGTGATATCTAAAACACACAAGGCCACCCATTTCAGAAGGCAAGAGGCAAATAAAACCATAGCACCCCTGTATCCTGAAACACTGTAGAGAATAAGGCAGATCTATGGATCATCTCCGAGATAAATCAAATAAAAGACTAAGTTGTAGAATATCCACAGGAATATAATCCCACACGTATAAACAGAACGAAACAACAATCAAGCTACAGATGGCTCTATGCAGCATAATAAATATCCAAACACACCTGTCTGGCAGTGGGGGGTGGGGACAAGGGGGTCAGTGGGACTCTGGTAACAGCAGGTGGTCCCAGGACCAGTGACATCAGCATCACCTGGGAACTTGCTATGTCAGAAATAATGCAAATTCTCAGGTGAGGACCAGCCCTACTGAATCAGGGGCAATATACTTTCTCCCTCCAYTTCCCAAGTTTAACTGTCACCCACAGAAGGGCTGCAGACTCRGAGCAGCTTTGCTGGGAGGCTGACACAGAAGTGGACACCACAGGGACAAGGAGGGCTGCCTGGGCCCGGCAGATCTGAGTCGAGATTTCCCCCTCCTCAGCCATGAGACTCTGGGCAGGTCCCTTCATCCCTCTGAAACCCAACTGCCTCATCTGCAGAATGGGGACAGAAACAGCAGTACCTGCCTATGGAGCCAAGAGCAACTTACAGCCTGCTCCAGTAGGTGCTCAGTAAGTCAGCTACAAGTAATGACACCAAATAATGGTGACGACAACCACGATGATAAAAAAGGTGTTTCACGGCAGGCAGAGAGGGTGGGACCTGCCGCAGCAAAAAAAGGGAAAAAAAAAAAAAGGCAAATGGGTGACACGTAAGAGAAACAGGTTTTGCTCAGGCCTTTTCCTTAATTGTTCCCACTTACGAGACTTCATCAATTATGAATAAATGTATATTATTAGCTCAACTTGACACAGGAAAAAGGCTTTTATCCAAATTTGGGTCAAATGTCTTAATTGGCATTTTGCAAGAGTCCTGCCTGTACSGGCAACATCATAGCCACGTCCTCACAAGTGGCCCATCTCTGGCTTTCAAGCCAGGCAGCACTGCGCCCAGCAAGTCTCTGTCTACAAGGCCATACCCCACCCCTGCGCCCCACTTGCCCCTTCTTTCTCCAATCCACACACATTCAGCAGTCCTAAATATTAAGTTCTGAGTTACTGTGAGCTGGGCCCTGTGCCAAAAGCTGCAGCCAGGGGTGAAAGAGACACCACTGTCCTCTTGGAGCTCATATGTTGGGGAGACAGGAGGATGATATTAACAAATTATCACTYAAATAAAATGCAATTACAGTTGTATCCCCTTATCTGTGTTTTCAGTTGCCTATTGATCCACTATAGTCTGAAAATATTCAAAAGAAACTTCCAGAAATAAGCAATTCACTAAGTTTTACACGGGGGTGTGTGTGTGTGTGTGTGTGCATTCTGAGTAGCATGATGAAATCTTGAGTAGTTCTGCTCTGTCCCATCAGGACATGAGTCATTCCTTTGTCCAGTGTATCCATGCTGTATACACTACCCACCCCTTAGTCACTTAGTAGCCATCCTAATTATCAGATACACTATCACAGTAATGCAGTGCTTGCATTCAAATCCAAGTAACTTATTTTACTGACTAATGGTCCCAAAGTGCAAGAGCAGAGACACTGGCAACTCAGATACACCAAAGAGAAGCCATAGAGTACTTCCTTTGGGTGAAAAGGTGAAAGTTATCCACTTAATGAGGAAAGGGGTGGGGAACCCTATGCTATGGTTGCTAAGATCCACAATACAAATGAATCTCCTATCTATGAATCTGTGAGGAAGGAAAAGAAATTCATAMTAGTTTTGCAATTGTACCTCAAACTGCAAAAATTTTGATCACTATGCTCGGTAATGCTTAGTTAAGATGGAAAAGGCATTAAATGTGTGTATGTACGCATCGGGAAAAAAMTAGAGTCCATAAAGGACTTGGTACTATCTATGGTTTCAGGAATGTATCCCCTGAGGAGACGCCTTACAAATTGCGACTCCCCGAGGAATAGGTGAACACTTCTGAACCTGGTTGGGAACCTGAAGACCAGAGGGAATTGGAGCTGCCTTACCCTGTGGGTCCCCAAGGCAACCCCAGTCCCCTGCAAGCTCCTGTCTGTCAGCCACTTCAGTTATAAAGCACCATCACTCAACAGCTGCCCCCACCCCAGGAGACTTAGGCAGATCCTCTCTTTTCCTCCTGGAAGCTCTTTTGATTTGTTTGATTTGTTTCTAGTTTTCGGTCATTATGAGTTAAGTCTTCAATATTTGTGTACAAGTCTTTGTGTGGACATATGTCTTTGTTTCTCTTGGGTAAATATCCAGGAGTGGAATTGCTGAGTTATTTGGTAAGTTTATGTATAACTTTGTAAAAATGACAAACTGTTCTCCAAAATGTTGTAGCTCTGAACACTGCCATCGGCTGTAGGAGAGCCCAACTGTTCCATACCCTCACCAAGACCTGGTATTGTCAGTTGTTTTAATTTTAAGCATTTATCCAGGGGGATGATGAGCAAAGGCACTGCAATATACAGACTCAGTCCCTTCCTTTGTTTGATGCCATCTTAGTGGGGAGAGGGGATCTCATTGATATTTCATGCAAGATGGGGAGCAGCGTTCCGGGGAGAGGGACCTGCAGGGCCAAAGACAGTGGGGACTGAGCTGGAGGCGTCAGTGAGGGGAAAGGCAGGTGGGGATGGGATCAGGGAGGGATCATAAGGGATTTGGTTTTTCATTTGTTTGTTTATTTGTTTGTTTTGGTACTGGGGATTGACTCCAGGACCGCTTAGCCACTGAGCCACATCCCCAGCACTTTTTATGTTTTATTTTGAGACAGAGTCTTGCTGAGTTGCTTAGGGCCTAGCTAAGTTGCTGAGGCTGGCTTTGAACTCACTATCCTCCTGCCTCAGCYTTGCTGGGGTCACAGGCATGCACCATCACACCTGGCAGGATTGGGTACTACTCCAAGTGAGATGGGGTGGGGTAGCCCAGAGGCAGGAAATAGCTGAGGCCATTGGAGCCATTCAAGACAGGTTAGGCAGGGGCTGGTCATCACCTAGGGCCCGTGGGACACAAGGGAGGGCCAAAAGCAGAGATACAAGGGTGCTGGGCAGGAGGGGGTCTCCCTAGCCAAAAAAAGTCCCCTCATGATAAGCTCTCTGGGGAGCTCTTTCACTGTGTTCCTGGTTCATCCCTCACCCCAGTTACTCAGAGTGGCTACCTTTGTAGATCTGTTTCCTGCAAAGAACCTTAGAAGCAGAGTCACAGAATCAGACCAGCCAGGTGGCAGCAGCTCGGAGAGGTGACGGGGTAGAGGTTGGGGGTCATGGTGGGCAATTTGGGACGTAGTGACCCTCCAAGAACCAGTTAAAGCTCCAGGCACACTCTCCCAAGATGCCATGTGCACACACAAAATTTATATACAACTTTCAGGCCTTCACAGATGCRCCTTAAGAACCTCTGGCCTGGCTGATCTTCACTCTGCAGATATGGAAACTGAGGTTCAAGGAGGGAAATGGATTTGCTCAGGGTCATTAGTGAGTATCCTTCCCTTGAAACCATGCCATGCCTCCTTTACAAAATGATCATAAATGGCCAAGACGACTGCACTTATTGATCACCCATAGGGGCTCGACATACTGCAAGTGTAACCAGCATATGAAAATCAAGAAAMCTCAGCTTCACGGCCTTGTCAATTAGGCCTAAGACCACTCTCTGGCTAGAAAGCATCAAGCACTGCATTAATGGTGATTTCTGGCCTTCTCTGTACTGGAGAGGCTTTTGAAGGGGTGCCTTGAGTGACCCAGTTCTCTTCAGTCTGCACTGAGGCCTTCTCACCCATCCTGGCTGCTTTCCTCCCACAGGCTCTGCTAGTGGGGCTGGGCRGGCAGTGCAGGACTAATAGCCTCTGCGCTCACGATCCTCCAAGGGCTGTGCTCAGCGCCACATGCGCTTCCTCTTATCAGTCTCAAAACAACCATGCAGGGCAGGTGCTGCTGTCCCCTCGTCACTAGCATTACTAGTAGAGAAACTCCAAGATGGAGTCACTTGTATTAGTTCGCTAGGGCTGCCGAAACAAAGCACTACATCTGGATGGCGTCAACAAAAACATCTTGTGCACAGCTCTGGAGGCTGAAGTTTGAGACCAAGCTGTCAGCAGGCGTGGCTCCTTCTGAGAACCCAGGGAAGGTCTGTGCCAGACCTCTTCTGGACTTTTTTTTGGGGGGGGCGGGGGGAGGAGCAGTTACTGGGGATTGAATCCAGGGCACTCGACCACTAAGCCACAC